TTATAACGAAGTAAATACAGTTTTACTTAGTTCACATAACTGGCAACCCGTGGTAAACCTTATTTGTTACCTATGTACGAAAGTTATGATTTCTGAATCTGTGCAGGTCAATTTGACATGACAGTATAGTTTTATTGTAATTAGAATTTTTTTTTTTATTTAATAGTAATGGACGATAGGAAAAAGAGGGCCAACAAGAGGCAGCAGGAGCTGCTGGTTGAGCGCCTCCATAATAACCTAGAAGTGGCGAGAGGTGAGAATTATTCAGTGTTTCAGTTTCTAAGGAATATCATTTTTACTATGTTAATTTTAACTGTATTTTCATCACATTAATTTTGTTTTTTTAGGCAATCAGGCAGATCCAAGTACCATGGAATTTTAGACCAATTTATCAAACGAGCTTAACAGTTTGGGCTGTAATAGAACTGTACAGCTGTGGCAGCATGTAAATATCTTATAGAAGACCCGTGTTTTTACTCATTCAAACGCTATCTTTTGTTTTGTACTTTCTTGTAATACTAAAGTCGTGAAGATCGTCTGACGTATATTTAACTTACGAAGCCAGTGATACCTAATGTAAAAACCTTTAATCTCAATAACATTCAATAGAATTTATACTGTAGTAGTTAAAGCGGTCACCAGTAGTCAAAGAATTTGCATAGAAAGCATCTCTCACCCTTACAAACTACTAATTTTAGCATTCTGCTACTTACAGGTTTTGTGCTGGGAAATGTATACCATAGCAACTTATTATTTATTTATATCGTCTTTACTTAAGCCTGTTTAATTATTTTCGTTTAGGTTTGGAGTGTATGGGTGGCCAAAGTTAAGACTAAGGCGCGCAAAATTAATGACTCCATAAGGGCAACAGGAGGAGGACCAGCTATATCTGAGCTCACAGATATTGAGCAAAAAATTATAGGGATTGCCTCCATTCAAGGATTTGCCAGTCTTGTAGTGGTAAAATATTGTTTAATCTTAAAACATACTATCACCTAATGCTGTATAGCGAAACACAATACATACTTATTTTATTACAAGACCTTTACACATCCTCTCACACTCCCTAATTCACATAGAGAGGAACTCACATACACTGTTGGTCGGGGCCTGTTGGTCTAGTGGTTAGTGCCCTGACTGCTAAGCTTGAGGTTGTGGATCGATTCCCACCCAGAAAAAATGTAATGTGATGAGCACGGTCATTTGTTTGGTGTCTGGGTGTAAGTTATTATGCTGGAAGAGCACTGTTGCCATGATACAGGTGTTAAGCCACATACACACATACAGACTTCTTACTGAATAAAGTCATTGTTATTATTTTAATTCTAGGGAATAACACCTTCTTTTGCGCGCGTCTCACCACCTGCACCAGTATTGCTGCCCTCTGTGCAGTCTCCGCAGGAGCCCCAGGAGGAACAGGAGCAACCGCAGCCTATATCCGGTGTCTCGGCAGTACCCGGCCCAATTCGTCGTCCGATTGTGCCAAGACGCCGCATTACGCCTAGGCCTTCACGTCCTCCTGCCTACGACAACCTGTTACGTTCTTTGCAAGAAAGCAGTAACAGTTTACAAGAAACCATTAGACATAGTGCTGAAGTGATTGCTGCTGCTTTGAGAGACAGCAGTGCTTCTACATTGCGTGCTGCTGAGATCTTAGCATCAGCAATTACTTCAACACATAATTCAAGTCATAGCAACAACATTAACCAATAGTAAAGTATCAACTTTTATTATTGGTTTATGTTATTGCTATGGTTGTATTTTTCGTAAACTGCTACTACTTCCTGCAAGAATAGCTCGTTTGATAACTTTGTCTAATCCATTTTATTTTATTTGTCCCTTTGTTTTTATTTTGTTGATTTTTTTACATGTTATTTTAAATTATTATTTGTTTAAGTGATTTTTATGATGATTGTTGATTATATAAATAATAAAAAACAGAGCTTTAATTAACAATATATTAAAACTAATAATTAAAATGAGTTTGTATTAATTCTTCCCGAATCTGTCTTGCCTCTATCAAAAAATTTCTTCCTCAACCACAATATTTACATCTTGTATTTCCACATCATAATGATTATCATCTGGAAATGAAGAACAGAACAGTAAAATGTGTTAAGTACAGACATGTATATATATGTGTGTATATAAATATTGGGGTAGACAGAAGTATGATATTTAACTGAATGCTGTGGAAATGAGAAGTCTGTGAAGTATAGCTGGCGTGACACTTGAATACCTTTATAAGGGAATGTTGCGGTATGGATATATAAAAGATGTAGTGATCAAGGGAAAGAAAGGGATACTTATATGGTTTATTAGAGGATGGATGTAAGAATATTGACAAAATAGATTTGAGGCAAGAGCAAACTGGTAAGTATTGAGTCAGATGTAATCAAATTGAAGGATTTTGAAAAAGGGCCAGATCAATAGTATCCACAATTAGCGCATATGTATGAAAATATTTATGAAAGTGAAAGGGGTGAAAGATGTATGCCAGGATTATAGCGAGTGGCGAGCTGTGATCTCTGCCTACTTCAATGGGAGAGAGGCTTGGAAATACAAATGTAGAAAGGAAATGTATGTATGTGCAAAGAATAATTTATAAGTTCATTTTACCATTTAATGCATCTATAAACCGGTTGTAGTGTGCAGCATGCCAGAATTATTTTTGCAGCTCTTTCTGGTTTATAATGCAAGCAACGATGACGATGTAAACATCGAAATTTATTTTTGAGCCTTCCATTGCACATTTCCACAACATTTCTTGCTCTTGCGTGACAGTTGTTGTATGCCCTTTCTGCCTCCGTTGTTGGTGCCATTAGTGGTGTCATAAGCCATGGTTGCAGGGGGTATCCTTTGTCACCTGTTATAAGTAAATATATTATATACTGCCAACAAATAAATAAAACAATCAATAAATGAGTACAAACTTATTACCTAAAAGCCATTGGTTTCTCTCTCCAGACAAAAATTTACTTTTTAAAAAATGATTTATAGTTGATGCTCTCCAGATAGCAGCATCATGTGTTGAGCGAGGAAAATTTGGATTGAGCCCAATAATTTTCCCTTTTGCACTACACACCTAAAAGACAATTAGTATTTAAAATCTACACAAAATAATATAAGTAAATTAATGTTAAATATCCAAAACCTAACTCAAATTAAAACTCTTTGTCCTGATTCATATACATTTGTATGGGTTTTTTTAAATCTAAAATGACTAAATTAAATAGATGAAATTAATGTTGTTATATAATCTTTGCATTAGAAAATAATAAACATTTTGTGAATGCTGTTGGAAGTTATAAAGAGTATGTATGTATATTTAGTATAATAATAGAGTATGGATGGAGTATGATACTCACAATCTGACAGTTAATACTGTAGAATCCTTTTCTATTATAGAAAAGATTTCCAGGTGCAGTAGGGTGATTTATAGATGGCTTTGCTATTGAAATATGTGTCCCATCTACTGCACCTAAGGTGTTAGGCATATTAAACAGCTCTTGAAATCTGAAAAGGTGAACACTATAAGTATTTCATAGATCTTATGATACTTAAGATGTAGAAATTGATGATTATCACCAAAACAATAATATATGGCAACAATAATATATGTTAACTTACTCTGTCATTGCAATCAGTTTTTCACTCTCAGTCATGGGAAATTTTATACAATTAGGTAAAAGCTTCTCCACTATTAAATCTGCTGTTATTTTAATGCACCTGCTAACAGAAGGTTGGCTAAGTGCAATGAAATTGTCTTGCCCTACAGCAGCTTGGTAACTCCCTTGAGCAAAAAATTGAAGTGCAGATAAAACCTGAAAAATGAGTTCAATATGAAGAGTAGGTACAAGATAGAAACAGTGGATTTATATTGTGCTCAATGTAATAAAGTAGACCTTTAGGTGCTTAGGTATGAAGCCTTCATCCAGGCGTTGATCATCGAGATCGCTGACTAATTGAAAAGCAGCAGATCTAGGAAGCCTGAATAGTTTCTGAAATTTTTCCTCTGCCAACTCAAACGGATTGGAGTTATCTCGCATACGTTCTAAGCGTATTCGTTCTTGATAGTTTGTAAAAATAATACATAAGTATGTTTGTTTTAATAATTCAGATAAGGCTCATAATTATTTGTGATTTATGATGAATAATATTATGCACATACCTTTCCGCTGAACTGACCAAAACCATAATCACGTAATCACTTATCATTTTAAAAAATTAATTCGCTAAAATTTTAAATTTTATACTTAAAAACTCTAATTATTAGGTTAGTCGGGATGTATTTAGCTAGCGTCTAATTTAGTGTGACGTTTTTAATTTTAGTCAATTTTTGACGTTTAGAAAATACAACAGAATAACAAATGAGCAAAAAAGGACTAAGTTGAGTAACTTAACTAATTTTGGTTGTGTCAAACTAAATATAGTTAAGTTCTACGTTGTCAGAATACGAAACGTTGTTTGACAGGACTAAACTAATTTTTAGTGATTTTTAGTTTAGAGAGTTTACGAACAACAGAATTAGCACCATTGTCAACAGTTTCTATACAGTTAGAAAAGAAGTACCAACTTTGAAAAAAATATTGGCGGCTACAAAAAAGGACCTAAATTTTCCAGGTAAGCATTTAATTTGTGTTTTAACATGCTGTCTAGTTTTCAATCTACAGAAACAATTTTAAGTTATATAAGTAGGTATGATAATATGTAGAAAGAATACATAAAATTACCGACGCGCATTGGGCCAGCGTGGTCGACTAAGGCCTGATCACCCTAAATTTAGGTGTTGATGTGATACGTGTAATACTTACATAAAACTTATTCTGTATCCTATGTCAAACTAAGTATCCAATTCGGTTTCAAGAACTTGACTAAAATATTTATGAGGCTTATATATCAAAATAATAATATGACAATGAGTAATATATAAACCTACGATTTTTAGCGCAGACGCATTACCTACCGCAAAGGTCGCATCCTTTGAATCGTTACTCGTAATGTCCGAGAGTATGGACACGCAACCCCCTACGGGGGACGCTCACGGCAATTACTCCCAAGGTAAGAGAAATAATTTTCCCGTCCGAAGGCCCAGAGGATCCCGTGGTCGTGGATCAAGGGGGAGACCCAATGAACGGTCCACCGATTGGCGCCAGAAGCAGAACCAATCGACAGAGGCGCGACAGGCGGCGCTGCGGAATTCACATTTTGATCAATTCAATCCAAATTCAACAACAGACGATGTAGTTCCCACAATAGCCCGTAACACTGCACCACCAACCACTTCATTCGAATATTCATCTGTTCAATTCTTAGGTATGGCCACTTTATTTGGTCGCCCATTACCTATCTCAACTCAGGCACTAGGATTTATTGTCAATCAATATTATATAAAACTCCAAGAGCAACTAGGAGCTGAAAGAGTCGCAGAGAGGTGTACAATACACCAGTTCTACCGCCACTCGCTGGCACAACTCTCTTACCATCTTTACCGACTACGCATCGAAGAAGTTCCGAGGTATAGTTACCGGACGAATCTTCCCGACCCACCTATTGTTCAACCTACGGCGGTCGAAGCTTTTAAGACTCTAGAACTGAACGTAGGATTTATTATATCCTATATTCAACGTATTGGTACTGTCATAGCTCATGACATACCACATGTTCCAATGCTTATGTTGGATGATTCTCCTTTCTATGTTACGGTCTTCAATTTGCGTACTGTCATGGCAAGAGCCAACAGAGACCCAGACTTCTTTAACCAACTGGTCGAGCACAATATATAAACCTAACGAACTTTATTTTATGTTTTTCAGGTGGAATAACCACATTGCGGCTGATACTTATAAACAATTTGGGTTATAAATTTAAAAAATGTAAAAATATGCGACATGTGTTAATGCAAAAGCCTGACATCGCCGCTTGGTGGGCTCGCTACCTGCGAAAGAAGAAAAGGAACAATGACCTCGGAGTGAACAAAAAACCGGTGACATACGTTGATGAAACATGGATTCATTCGCATTATACCGTGGCTAAATGTTGGCAAAACAGTAGCGACGCAAGTATTAAAAAAAATGACGATCCCGGACAACAATGGATTCTAGTCCATGCGGGCGGTGAAAATGGTTTCATTCCCGGAGCCGACCTTTTATACAAATGTAAGAGCAATACGGGAGACTACCATCATGAAATGGACACAAAAAATTTCACGAAATGGTTGAAAGAAAAACTTTTACCAAACTTGCCGCCAAATGGCATTGTTGTCATTGATAACGCGCCTTATCGCGCCTTATCATTCGACGCAATCTGAAAAGCCTCCCGTAAGCTCGTCACTCAAAAGCGATATGCAAAACTGGCTGCGAAGCAACAACATAATTTATGATGAAAAAATGACAGAATTGTATCATTTGATTGTAATTAATAAGCCTCCAAAAAATACATTGTGGACGAATTAATGAAAGAGCACGGCCATGAAGTTTTGCGTCTGCCACCCTACCATTGCGATTTAAATCCAATAGAATATATATGGAATTTAGTTAAGCAAAGGGTGGCAGACAAAAACCTTACTCAATCTGAGAGAGAAATTGAAAATCTGACGAGGGAGGCTATAAAGTCCATTACAGTTGCTGACTGCAAGAAAGAAACGAACCACATTGAAAGGTTGGAAAAAGAGTATTGGTACAAAGATCATCTCCAAAAAATAGCAGAAAGAGAATTTATAATTTCCCTTGGAGACGAAGAATCCAGCTCTGAAAGCGAAATTGATGATGACGAATCTGATACCATGTCGGGAGTTGAAGAAATTAATTATAGTAGCCAAAACGATTGATTAAAATAAATGTCTTTATACCTTATTTGGTTTTTTATTTTGGTGTCTTACTTTAAGCCTATTGTTCACGTAAACCGCATGTCATGCGCACGCTATCTCATTTGACGATTGCATGCATCTGAAATAAAATTGTGTCCACGGAGAAGCAGCGTCGCATTTACTTGTTATTACATATAAAAATGATCTTAGACTATCAAAAATGTCCCCGCAATGAAAAATCTAGCGCCCTCATTTTTGTCGTCTCTTTATTGTCAAGCTGTAATATCATATCGGTCCATATGTATCAATTTAAGTGCAAAACGTCATGAGTAAAATGACGCCTTATCATCAAAACGACCTTTTATCAACATAAAAAAAATGGTAATTTATATTTTTTTAAACATGATTCTCATTTTTTATATTGCAAACGGTACCGTCCGAATGACGTCACAGAGCGAGGTGCACAGTTAATTCGCACGAGTAGTACTTTACAACTCCAGTGCCTGTCGATGACGCCATGTCATATCGCCATTACATGGCGCAGTCTTTTGTCGTTGTGCGAAGTGACTGTGCGTTTTCGGTGTGCTCTGTTATTTTCTTCTGACCCAGCTTTGTTATTGGACTGATCTTACTGACTACGTTTACCTGGCTATAAATTGGATTCCGATTACTTAACGATTAGTAAACAAGAACAACATTACAGTCTTACCATGTCAAAACGGGGGAAAACGCTAAACAGTCAATCTCGCGAACTAGTGGTGAAATTGTTATTGAAATGTTCGCGTTGCGCTGTGCAATCTGCTATCAAACGGTTTGCTGAGACTGGCAGTCACGCTAATAAACCAAGAACAGGCAGAAAATGTGTGACTTCGAAGCGCGAGGATAGAAAATTAATACGCGAATCTATGAAAGATCGGAAGAAAACTTCATCAGAGCTTGCTGCTACTTTGTCCGAAGAGGCTGGAAAACCAATAAGTGCTCGGACCACCAGAAGAAGACTTGGAGAAGTAGGCTTAAAAGGATGCAAAGCCAGGAAGAAGCCCTGGCTTTCAGAAACTAAGAAAAGAAAACGACTTGAATGGGCTCTACGGCATCTACATTTTACTGAGGAAGATTGGGCCAATGTGGTATGGTCTGACGAATCTAACTTTGAGGTAAGTAAATTTTACTGCTTTTGTTATTAACCTCTTGTCTGTTGCAAGTCCTATGGTAGGACTTTTATAAAAATTGCGTTTCTGTGGCGCCCTACCATAGGACTCGGCACACGCGCAAAACAGATGTTCGGTTACATGCATATTGGAACGAGTAATATAGTTTTACTCTATCGAACTTATTAAAAATCGTATAAGAATGAACGGGACTTCCTTCTAACGTGCATTAAAACACGACTGTAGTACAAAACCGTTGAGAATTTTTGTTTTAATCTGTGACCTATGTCACTCGAAGATTGCCGCGCTTGAAGTGCATTGTGTGTGCTATTTTGTAATCAAATCTAGTGATTTCGAGCGATTTATGATCGAAAAGTAAGTAATGTTTATGTTTATTTACTAACATTGGCATATTATTAACATTTTAAGTCAAAAACAAACTTTGAAGCACTGGCCATGTCATTTTACAAACTAGTAAATGGATTTTGCTTTGTCATATTATGATAGAAACATTATCAAAACCGCAACGAATATGTGTAATCAAATCATTATTTAATGAACTTCAATCAGATTACTACAAAATGCGTGCATGTTAGACGCAAATGCTAAAATTTTGACCTCAAACATAATGTGAGCGTACAAAATCCTACCGTAGTACTTTTAACAGATAGGCGTTTTGTATCACAAAATGGCTGTCAGTTGATCTAAATATGGATAAGACTTTAGAACTTCGCATTAAAAATTCAATGATTTACTTTTTTCTTTTAGTTATTTGATTTTTAAATATTTTATAGCTTTATAATAGGGATGGTGGGTTTATTTACATATAATTTTTTTTTTGCGAAATAATAGTTTTCGTGATATTTTAGTGGAAAAAAACAATATTTCAAATGTTTTCAAGATGTTTTAAAAATTTCAAGTGTTTATTTTGTACGTTGCTTTATGTTGGCTTTGTTTTGCATGGAAAAGTAATAACAACGACGAAGTTGGTGGCGGTCGAAGAACCCGTAGAGGTGGAAGAGTGCGAACCCGTGGTGGGCGTGGGCAACGGGGTGGTGGGCAACGTGGTGGTTCATTAAACAGGCCTTCGATCTCTCAACCGTAATAACCTTTTGAAACTAAGACCTAAAAAAATATTTATTATAAATATTATATTTACGCTCTCCGTCATAAGTTTAGAATATTTCTTTCAAATACGTGCATTTATTCATAATTATAATATTTTAGAATGTGTTCGAAACTATTGAAGGTGTGTGTATTTAAGCTTATTTGATATTTGATATATGATTATCTTATTTGATATATCTTATTTTATGTTTATTTCTTTAATTTTTTAATCGATTTTTGTTTAATGTTAAAACGTATTCCAGTATGTTGGAGGATCTGCCTCAAGGGCAACCCTTGGAGACCCCGTTACACCCTAAAAGAGTGCGGGTACTCCCTGGGTCGATACATAAACCCAGAGTGAGTATTCTGATTGTGATTGTTTGAAATATTAATGTACATAACAACAAAACAAATATCTCAACATTTATTTTCAGATTAGAAACTGTATCTTCTGTATGTCTTTGACCATCATCACCACATCCCCCTCTCATCACCGAGAAGAAACCGCGCCTGTGGCACCACTTTCTCCGCCAAGAAGGACTCCTGTAGAGATGTCAGATATGGTGCCATCACCTGACCTGTAACTATTTATGAAATATTTAATTTACTTATTTTCCTTTTTATTTTGTACACATTTTTTAATTTATTTTTTTATAGACATGTTGAATGTGGTGCAAGCAGCGGGGCAAGCACACCCAAATCCAAGCGGCCTGTGTGAGTATTTATCAGAAATTTTTAAATGTTATTTTATTTTTATGTTAAGTTTATATATTATTAAATATTTATTTTATTTTTTGGCTGTTGGCTGTTCTCAGTCAAAAAGGCGTCAACATCCGTAAGTTGGTCCGTCATTCAAATATGCTTTTTTTTGTAGAATCCCTTCGTCCAGTAGCAGACCCCTCCGTGATAATGAAATTCACAATATACTTAATTACGGTAAGTGCATTATGACACCAACTTTCTTTTCAACAATCGTAAAAATTAAATATTTATTACCATCGAAACTAGAACTTTCAACTTTTTTCCTTTCAGGCAGCGAGGAAGAGTCTGACGACGAAGACGAAGGGTCTACCCAGCAGTTACTGATGCCCCGGGTGGCAAGGATTTTTATGGACGAAGACGATGAGGCAATTGAGGAAGGTGCCCTCCATATTTCTTTGGAGTGGCCTCCTCAATCCTCTCGTCCAGAGCCCGCCTTATCGACGCCCACCTTACCGACACCCGCCTTGCCGATGCCCGACTCACCGTCTGTTGGACCTTATAATAAATTTGAATTTGAGTGGAGAGGGTTTGAAACGCCTCAAATTGAACCTCATTTGAGGCGAGAACCCAACTCCAAAAATAATAGTGGCCCTACGGTTTCTGTCGCGACTCCATATGAAGCATTCACTGCCATATGGAATCATGAAATCATGGACGAAATTGTGAAACAAACAAATATTTACGTCCAGCAACTATCAAGTGCCATGATTACAAACGGCACCATGTTTCCCAACAGCCGCATAACACGATGGAAAGATACGTGTGTAAATGAAATATACACGTATTTTGCCATAGTGTTAGCGATGGGAATGGTCGTGAAAAGCCGTATAGAGGAGTACTGGAACCTTTCAAGAGACATATTTAGCACTCCTGGTTTCCACAGTGAAATGTCTCTTGACAGGTTTCTACTCCTGTCCAAGTGCCTACATTTTAATAACAACAATAATTATGACCCTGCTGTGATGACACGTTCCGAAGCCAAATTATTTAAAGTCAAACTAATAATCGATCACTTGGATCGCAAATTCTCCGAACTCTATACCCTCTCCCAAAATGCGGCTCTCGATGAGAGTTTAACCATGTGGAAGGGCTGGCTTGATATAAACCAGTTCATCCGGAACAAGGAAGCGACAGTGGGAATTAAAACATACGAAGTATGTGAATCGCATACCGGGTATTTGTGGCGATTCGAAGTCCATGCAGTCCATGACACCTCGGACCCTCAGGAAGGTCCTGTTTCAGGTACAATACCTGCTCTTGTGCTCTGACTTTTAAGTGGTCTTGAGCATAAGGGCCACACAGTATGGATGGACAATTTTTATAACTCCCCAGCGTTAGCCCGCGAATTGAAGTCGCTAGGCTTCGATTGTGTGGGGACGCTGCGGACGAACCGCCAATTTGTGCCCACGGAAGTAGCCAGGATTGCAAAAAGTGACATGGCAGTCGGCCAAGTGGTGGGTTGCACCTCGGGAGATGTTGATATCATGGTGTGGAGGGACAAAAACCGCGTGGCTTTTATTTCCACATACCATGGTATCGCATCTTCCAGGTGTGGCGATATCACGAAGCCGACTGTCGTGCAGGACTACAACATTTGTATGGGTGGTGTAGATAAAAAAGATCAGCAACTGGCTATGTACCCCATCGAAAGGAGACGTACTAGAGTGTGGTATAAAAAGTTTATTAGGCGCCTCCTTAACGCTAGCGTCCTTACATATAATACTAGCAAATCCGTTATTAACACACCGGAAATTCCGGAAAATGTTAATAATGTTAGCAGCACACCGACAACCTTCACCCACCACAACAACACTCACAACACCCATACATTGTCCGGCACAATACAGTTACATTAGGCCTGACCAGAAACACCGTTTAAAACGGAAATGTGTCATCTGCCGAACCCGTACATCCACATTCTGTAAAGCCTGTGACCAGGCAATGTGTGTTTTTAATTGCTACGAGGCGCACCACACCACACCACACCAACAGTAACAATTACACATACACTATATATATTACCATCCATATTGTTGTGAGGTACTAGATGAAAATGCTGCACCAGGGTGGCCTATGGACCCTTGCAACACCAGGGCCCTGTTTTATGAAGCTGACATTTCGACATATATGTCAAAAAGTGACAAAATTGTCGAATTGTCGCGATTAGGGTGTTTAAAAAAAGTGACAAATATGTCAAAATTCGTTACAATTTCTTAAGAAAAATTTGCAAAATGAGACCACTACTACTATGAGTCAGAAAATGAGCAAGATAATCAAGAAAGTACATCTAAAACACGTTACCAAAGGCAGCCACCAAAAAGAAAGATGGTTAATAATAAAGAAGATGATATTGTAAAGATTTTAAAGGAACCTGAGAATAGACACATCTTTTTTTAAAGGTATTCTACCATCACTTGAAAGATTAGATGACAATAAAACACTCATCTTTCAGAGCAAAGTTCTTCAAATTTTAACAGAATTGCATCAACCTCATGGCTACTACTATCCGAATAGCAACTACCAGGGTGGCTATCAAACTCAACATTTTGCGACATCTCAACAAACGCCACTGATACGTTCACAGTCATCTAACATACCAGATCAAATTGATTCACCCAGTAATGATTTTTCTAACTCAAGCATATTAAGCACACTTTCAACTGAAGAAGACTGATTTTTCGTAAATTTTATGGATTGTAATATTTTAAAAACTCTTTTCTCAATAAAAACTAATGTAAACAATTATTGTTTTACTTTACTTACCGGATAGTGAGGCCAATCATTTCCAGAGGCATAACAGGAATTCTCCCCTTGTACGATTGTTTCTAAAGATATGGTGATAATAAACTTAAAAGCTCTTCGAATGAAGATATGCTCATTCTAAAATACTCCAAAAATTTTGCCATGCTAAAGCGGCGGTTGTTTGAAGAGTGGAAGAGAGGAGTAGGCATTGGTGACCAAGCAGTTAGCCCGGAGCTGATGGGAAATGACCGGGCCTTCTGGGACACCATTGTCTACGGCGCGGGTGAAGAGTCGGATGCGGTATCAGCGATAGGCGAATATGCGCTTGGAATCGCCAGCCGAACGCAGCTTTCGTGGCAGCCGACGTAATGACGACCATGACGGGAGTAAGGACCCCACTCGCTCTCAATCTAAGCGACGTGACAGAGCGGGGACGCTACACTTTCGTGGAGGGCGAGAGGATGCAGCACATGAAGGGGGTCTCGGGCCACTGGCTCGAGAATCGTGTGGGGCACGAGGGGTTGGACATCATAGACTGCCCCAGCCTTGAGAAGGCGATGAACAGGCTCAACCTCCTTGAGCTGGAGCCTGACGATATACGCATGTGCGTGAAACCGATAAATCAGGAGGCGCACACCTACTCATATCGCGTCGACACGGCGATAATGACGACAGTGGGACTAAATTGCGGTTGGGTGAGCAGTATCCGCCCACTTACCAACGTCGTGCAACAGGCGCCGCCTTTCGGATGGGGACTGCGGGTGCACTCCCGTAACTTCCAAACGGGGGAATATACGGTACTCACCATCTCGGTCTCGGCGGTCTCCAACCTTGAGAGGTGGCCTACCTCAAGGGGAAGGGGTGGCATGCCCCTCTGAGGGCTTCCACGTCGGTGGGTACTTCAACGGCCCATCTACATTCCCGGTTGACAATTGGGTCACTTCGCGCCAGACCGGGAAAGGGCGGGCAAGGAGGATTGGATGCTGCAGGGCCAGCGGGTTTTCGGGACGAGGCGCCCACATCATCGCCAGATGTCCCCACTGCGCCTGGGGACGTCGCAAATGTCGGCGCCGCGCCGGCCCCGCCTACCACGAAGCCGGGGGCTCCTGCGGAGGCAGCGGAGAGAAATGCGGATCACGTGGCGGCGCTGGACAGCCAGTGAATCTAGAGCCCATTAAAGACATGACCCCCGACTGGGAGTGGTCGCCCGCATTGTATCGGGTGAAACACGGGAAACTGGTGTCGAGTCTTGAGCCTTGCTGTAAGGAGAAGGGGTGGGAAGCGCCCATGTCAAAATTTAACAATAACCTAAAAAGGGGAGGCCCTACTTCTTAACAGGCCTTTGGTTTCCCTCCTCCTGCCTGAGCGCGTATGTCCTATCTGCGTCATCCAGCACCTGGCAGGGGATAGGGAGAATATCAAATTGATCGAGGGACAGAAGCCTTACTTGGACGCGGGGGCGTTGAGTTCGCTAATACTAACAGCCCATAACCAGGAGATGCACGCGTTGAATGGCAACATAAACTTCTCCGTAATACACGACACCGCGAGGGCGGATGTAATGGCGGCGGCCTTAACGCGGCCAACAAGGGGGGTGCGTCACAGGCACGCAATACAGGTAGAAACAGAGCGTAGGCTGCGTGTAGCACAGGAGGAAGTGCCTATGCTCGTTTATACTAGTAATGTGGCCAATGGGGTGGGACTGGTCAGTGCCCCACCCACCCGACACCAGCTATTCTGGTTTTACGGCAGCTTAGCGCAACCAGAAAGCGCAGGGGAGGCTTCCAACCAGGCATCCGGGTGCGGGGAGCCAAGCATAAGGTCGCCAGCACCCAGTATCCTGAAAACTACGGGCACTACGGTGCCGCCGCCACCGTCGGCCAGCAGCGTATGGGGTGACACGTATGTCACGGGCATGGCGGGGAATCGCACGCGCCGCAACGCGCGCCAACCGTTGGCGTGAGCTGGGCGGATTTCTCTCAGCACTTGCGACGCGGAATGTGGGGGCTAGGAGCCTTATGGGATACGATCCAGTCCCAGACGAACATGACCTGCTAAACGTGGGGGTAGAGACACGCAACCTCACGTGGGTGGGGGTTAAGGAGGATCCCGTGTATAGTAAAGGGGGGCTAGTGCTAACCGCGCTTTCCACAGACCTCAAGCGCACGGTCGACGATCCCACGTCCAGGGATGGGCGCATAAACGCTACCAGGGCGTTGGGTGTGTGGCGTTACCTTGCTGACAGCCCCCTACTGCAAGCAACACTAGTAGACGGGTCTCAGGTCTGCACTATGGACATCACAGGGCACTTATTGAAAATGAGACTCTACGACCACCTGAGACACATGAGCTGTGCTTTTCCCACGGGCACTGAGTGGGGCCTGCCAATGAAAGGGGAGGTGCCTCGAATGGCAAGGGTAATCCCGGAGATAAATGAGCAGTGGGAGGTGGCCGCTGTCTCAGCTAGGCATCTTGACGAGATTATGCACCGGCAGGCACGTGCCATAACGCTAAATCGCGGGGATACGTGGTGCATTGACGATCCTAGTGTGGCGGTGATCGTAATCGACTACGCGTCGGGTAACCCCCAGCTTATGTGGGCGCTTCAGATGGTCTTGGCAGCGCCGTATCCGCTCGTCGAGGTCGATGAGTTATTTGTGGTGACCGGGCCAGAGGGGGCGGAGACATGTAGACTGGCTGCGATGCGCCGTAACGAATGCTGTGTCACTATGGAGAACAAGAGGCGTAAGTTCTTGCTGGTAACCGGGTCGGGGGAGGAAACGATCCAGATCGCGGGGGTTGAGGTACGGGTGGCAGGGCTAGACAGGAACAGGGAGCCGGAGGGTGTGCAGCCCCAGCCGGTGGGAGAGATGCTCACTGCCTGTCTTGACAGGATTTTACGCTCACCTACGCCACTGAAGGTAACAATGGAACAGTGGTTGGCTACGAGGATGACCGCGCCCAACGTAGATTGGGCATTAATAGATGAGCTGGTTGCCTGGTTGACGATGAGATTCATCCCACAACCCGAAATTTATCATGACGAGGCGGGCGGTTCTGAAACCCACTGGCTGCCCAGGGCCTAGTGCAACGCCGCATACGCCACAGACGGGCTGCCTGAGTGTGTTACGCCAGATGACGAGAGTAGCTTCTACTATCATGACCATGCCACTACCTTCACCGACAACGTCTTCGTCAGTAGGGCACTGGCTAACATGGCCCCTGCGTTGAGAGTTGGTACCTGGACTAACGAAGCAGAGCTAATAACTGGATTAGGCATCGCCACGTACGTACACAGTGAGCGTGGCGCATCAGCGGGGGAGGAAGGCACCGCCATGGCACTCGATGATATCGAGCGTGCCATGCTAAAGCGGCGGTTATTTGAAGAGTGGAAGAGAGGAGTAGGCATTGGTTAGGCACCAAGCAGTTAGCCCGGAGCTGATGGGAAATGACCGGGCCTTCTGGGACACCATTGTCTACGGCGCGGGTGAAGAGTCGGATGCGAGATCAGATATTACTCACCTGCTTCGACGAAATGGAAGGTGAACGCCGTGTATTGTGTATTACGTGTACAAGATCAGTACTTCGTGACCGAAACCAGCATATACTAACGCGGTCCTATTTGGAAGACAATCCAGGCTTCACAGAGTACGTGATGGAACGGATTAACGTTAATGAGGTTAGTATAAACATAACTTTTGTTCACTGTGTTCACGATGACATAATGTTCACTCACACATATGTCGTGTATTTTGGTTTTAAAGTATTAAGTTACTTTTTGTTTTTAGTACGCAACTTGAGGATATTTCTTTTCTTTTAGATGGCCCTCAATCAATTTCAATATATGTGTCATCGTTGTTGGGTAGCTGGAAGACGACAGCAAGCCAGGCTCGAACAAGAACAAAACCAGGAACTCGTAAGTCCAGAGCAGTTGCAACCAACGTCTGTTCCAACTTATAGGTGGGTTGCAAATACGGCGCGTCACTGCTTATCCCACGGGTGTATTAATCTAGAACTTTATAGCGTCCAGGTTTATAAAAGTACTTTTGTTGGTTGATCATAGCGTGTACGTTCCTGAAAAAGCACGGCTTTGTACACATCACATCAACACAAATGATTGGAGCTCCCTGTATGACAATGGAGAGACGATATTCACACCGGACCATCTCAAAGATATGATCGACACGTTACGGGATGCATATAAACATAAGACTAACACAGATTTTGACAATGTTAATAACATTATAGATAGTTCAACTCAGTTGTGCGCGCGGCCCTATGTGTGCGTGTGGCAGTGACGCGGCAGTCGTCGTCCGAGCAAGACGTGTTCTTATCGCTTTTTCTTAAGGGTAAAGTCGTTTACAAAAATGTCTAGTTCTTCACGGAGAAAATGTTTAAGGAGTCAGGTAAATATTTTTTAAATTTAGATGTAATTAATATTTATTAGGATTCTATATACGAAAAAAATATATCCTTGTTGACGTTTACGTATTATTGTTTTAGACTGGAGAAACCATTGCTAAGGTATACGAATTTCTGAAAATAGATGCGAGAGATATATTGGAACTAGTAAGTGAGCCAGTTTGCAGAAAGACCGTAAAAAACGTTAAAAAAGTTAGAATTAGACAACTTTACGTTGATGTTATACGTTCCACTATTCAAAATTACCATTTAGAACATCGCGAGTTACCTACCTTGCTAAAGTAGAAAGAATATTTCAAGATAACTTAACTATGATGGAAGTATTTCGACTCTGCGTACAGCTTTGTTAAAGTTGGGATACAATGGCGAAAAACTGTGGATAACAGACGTGTTATTATAGAGCGGCATGACATCCAAAAACTACGATTTCCTACCTAAAAAATTTACTCAGATACCGTCAAGAAAATCGGTGTATCGTATATACAGATGAGAGCTACATCTTAACTAATCATGTGCAAAACAAAGGATGGGGTAATAAAGATGGACCACCTTTAAAGAGAAACCTGTCGAAAGGACAAAGAATTATCATTGTGCATGCTGGTTCAGAACAAGGTTTCGTACCTAACGCACTATTGACATACAAAGCAAATAGTGTTTCTGGTGATTTTCACTCTAACATGAACGCAGAAAACTATGAAAAGTGGCTAAAAGAACGTCTAGTACCGAATCTTCCACCTGACTGTGGTTGTGCTTGATAATGCCTCATACCATAAACGTTCAAAATGACAGAGCCCCAAATTCTAATTCCAAAAAAATAGAAATGCAGAGATGGCTGACAGAAAAAAATATAGCTTTTAATCAAGATATGAAAAAATTGAACTGATTTGATTAAAAAAAATAAAGAAAAATATATCTGTTACAAGATTGACGACATACTTCAGCCATATGACATAAAAATTCTTCGACTGCCACCATATCATCCTGAACTAAACCCCATAGAAAATGTGTGGGGAATTTTAAAGAATTATATTGCTTCGCATAATGTCGACCACAATGTGAACGGAAATAATGAAACTCATAAATGAACGTTTAAGTCAAATTGATGAGGGATGTGTGGGGTAATACTTGTCGACATGTACAAAAGAAAGAAGAAGAATACTAAAGACATTTTGACATGGAGTCCGAATTCATAATTAACCTTAGTGAGAGCAGCGAATCCGAAAATTCATTATTTGATTTTTCAAGTAGCGATTCAGAATAATGTTTCAATAAATAAACTTACATTACGAAATAAACTTTTTTTTTAAAACCCGTATATAACCCGTAAATAACTATATTTGTATTTTGTAAGACTGTACCTCTTGTCACGCACACAAAGTCACTGTATATGTACAGGTTTACCCACACATAGGGCCGCGCGCACATCTGAGTTGAACTATCTATACACATGAGGACTTATATTACCTAACTGGCTTAACACACACCACAATTTGAGATCGTTTTGGAATGAAACACCGTCTCTTTTAGATCAATGTAGAAGACCAAAAAACTGCACTAGGAGTCTATTTATTAAAACTAAGGTCTGGTGAACCAGATACTCGTATAGCTTCCCAAATAGGTGGCTCGAAAAACGATCGGTATTTTACTTAAAACTGCACGAAACTGCTTGACCCAAGACTTTGTTCTTCGCCATTTGGGTTTCAATCATATAAGCCGTGCTGAAATCATAGCTTCACAGCCTTGCAGTTCCATCAGCAATATACTCCAACCCTACAAACCCAGTGGCAATAGTTATTTGTGATGGTTCGTACATATACGTACAGAAAAGTAAAAACTTTTTATTTCAAAAAAGGACTTACAGCTTACACAAGTATAAAAAACCTGTTAATAACCCTTTATAATGTAACGGTGCATTTCGCACCATTACAGTAATTTGAACCTTAGTCTTGTTTTTGTTTTGTTAGGTTGAATTTTATGTCGTTTCTGCGAGTGCCGATGGTCGAGGGGTGACGAGAGTAATAATCGATGTTGTTCGCCCGCGATAGTTAGTCGATTTAGTTTTTTCTTGTCCTGGCAACATTTTTTCTCACGTTCGAGGGAGTGACAAGCTTTTGCTCTGGCAACACGTTAGCGTCACATTTGGAATTTCAGCCCGAGTGAGATGAGGCAGAGCGAGTCATTGTAATTTATTTATTAGTAATCCATATTTATTTGATATGGACGAGGGCCCTATTTCCTCTTTAAATGTTTGGCCAACCTAGTTAAAGACTCGAGCTACTGGTTCGAGTGATTATTTTTATTAAAAAGGTAAGTTTTGTTCGGCCACGTGCTTCACGCTTGGCTTGGCAGAATTAGTGGTTCTAACTCTTTGTTTAATTGGTTACAGGAAATGGTTATAATGCCGCTGCTTAGTTTGTGAAACATTTTGGGACCCTGGTGAGTAATCTATGGTATCTTGCCAGAGTTAGGATTCATCTTGTGAGATAGGCGATTAACCTATAATTTTTTCTTATTTACAGATGAATCAGGGTTTTTTTTTGGTTTATATCTAAAGTCCTAATTAAATTTCTTTACATTCAAATTATACTTTACTTTCTTATTGGAATGTCATTGCGTGGCATTCGGTTTTTGTTTCTACGCCGGCCTGACCCCAGGAAATTTGTTTGCTGTGGAGCACCTAAATGGTAGAAAAAGCTGCTTAGCTGCACGCCATTGTCTGGAGCCTGGGAGTGCTAACCCGCCTCTTCCACCACGTGGGAACCGGAGTGAGGAGTTTTCGGAGTTGGTTTGCTATCATTTCATTCGGACTGAACCAAGGTCATTGGTATGTGTTTTGTTATTTTTCTTGGCGACGTGGCATTGGATACTGCAGGTCCCCAAGGGGTGTTATTTTTTTATTAGAGAGTAGGTCAATGCTACGTCTACCCTTAGAGTTTATTGTTTTGTCTATTAAGTCTTTATGCGACTTTGTTTAAAAACCTATACAGGTCCCCAAGGGGGTTATTTTTTAATTAAGGGAGTAGGGCGTTGCTACAACTACCCTTAGACTCTTTTCTTATTGGGTCTTCATGTGACTCTTAAAACATATTTAACCTTATATTTTTTTTATTGGAAAGGATTGCATTAATGACAGTACTAATTTGAGTATAAGAATTACCTATTGTAATTAGAGACATAAGACACTTTGTACTCTACAGACACTACGGGATAATAAACTGCCACTAGAACTTAACATCTTGTATTCATTAGCTGCCCTCCGTCCTAGATTAAAAGTTCCAGTGCTGGCCGGGTTGTCCGAGGTATTTATTGTGTTTGTGGTGGGTTCTGTGTTCTTTTAAGGTGGTATCTGGCGCCCGAGACCTTTAGTTTGTTATTTTGTTACTATTTGATGCCACCAGTTAGTTTTATTTGTTTAAAACATAACCCAACACATAAAATTTAATTTTTTTTATTTTTTTATTATTACAATAATGACTTGCCCAAACGGCTATATTGTAGATATTTGTGGACCATACGCTGCAACAAAAACAGATGCCCAAATCATAAGGGAGATAATGTGTGATCAAACGTCCCCAGTGCATATAATATTACAAACAGACGACGTTTTTATTTTAGATCGAGGTTTTAGAGACTATATAAAATATAGAAAGTGCTTTTTATGTTGCCCATATGCCGCCAAGCAAAGACAGGCATACAACACAGCTCACAGATATACAAGCAAATAAATCTCGACAAATCACAATAGTGCGATGGGTCATAGAAGTTATAAACGTATGGTTCAAAAGGGACTACAAGATATTTAGGCATACACTTATTAACAAAACACTTCCTCACGTGTTTGAAGACTTTCGCATTGCCGGAGCACTTATAAATTTATTTAGGCAGCGTTTGACAGACAACGAGCATGCCGACGCCTTTATCGATATAATAGCTCAAAGAATTACCGAACATGTAGTCGCAGAAAATATGAATAGGCAACGGGCGGTGTTTACTACAATGACGGCTACATCAATACCATTTCCACAATTGACAGAAGAAGACGTCATTCTATTCAGTTTAGGAACTTATCACTTTGAGCTCGCTAGATCATATGTTGCCGAGCATTTGCGAAGTGGAGATGGTGTTTATAGTATAGAGTTATCTTCTAGCCGTAGCCCTAGTATGTCACAGCATGGGCTAGTGACCGAAAACTGCTCGTTAATTAGAGGCCGAATATTATCGAGGCACGTATCGAATAAAATATATTACACATACATTTTGATGAAAGTGAATGTCCAAGGCAGAGAAGCCATCAAAGCCTATTATTGCTCCTGCATGACGGGTATGAGAACTCTAGGTGCCTGTGCCCACACTGTTAGCATAATATACTTAGGTGTTGGTAGGCACCTAGATAACTTCGTAGGTCCGGCGAGTGCGTGGGATGATATAATCATTGAGAGTAACAACACAATTTAAAAAATATGCTTTTGCTGCTGCTTTGTTTTGTAATAAAACCGGTTTTTTAAGATTGATGGTTTTTTATTTTAATTTTTTTTCCATAAAAGACGAAAGGTAGGGAGCTAAATCGGTCTCTGTTTAGATAGTAAGAAGACTGCTTATTTATTTTGTCTAGAGAACAGAAAAAGGCCCGATGGTTATAACACTTAAAACGTAATAAATAAGGTATTATAACTTCGGTCTACCATTCATTCATTCGTTCATTTATTTTGAGTCGGTCAATTAAGCCTCTTCTATATGACACCTAGTCTAAAATGCTACAAAGGTGGGTACGGGTCCCATACAAATCTACCCATTGTTCTTTTTTCAACTATGGAGGAGAGTGAACTTGTCAATTACCTACTGATGGCCAGCAAATTGTATCATGGATGACGACACACACCTAAGAATGTACGACAACTGGCATTTCAATATGCTATTGAAAATAAAAAGGAAGTTCCGCTAAAATGGTCCGAAAATGAAGAAGCAACCTATGATTGGTTCTAAGGGTTTATGCACCGACACAAAGAACTATCACTCAGAGTTCCCGAAGCCACAAGCTTGTCTCGCGCCACGGCGTTTAACAGACACAACGTTAACATTTTTTTTCAAAATTTATCAAGCCTTTTACAGAGATTTAACTTTGGTCAGAACCAAATTTGGAATGTAGATGAAACTGGCATTACGACAGTTCACAAACCAAAAAAAATCGTGGCATGTAAAGGAATTAAACAAGTGTCTAAGGCAGGGATGCACAGACAGCGGCCCGCGGGCCGCATGCGGCCCGCCGCACAGAGAGGCAAGACTGCTAAAATCGATACAATAAATAGTAACAAAAAATTTTGCTTCATCACCTCGCCTGTGTGTGTTGCGGACAGTTCATTAGCTGTGGCATAAGAGCGCAGGTAAACTAACACGATTCCCTCGACCCGTTCTCCCCGCCACGCCCCTCAGTCTCAGTCGATCACTCGTGGAGCGTCTACGTGAGATTTGTGCGTCAGCGCAACATTGAAGTGTACTCAGTTTTTTTTAAATAGTGGTGATTGAAACCCCAAAAGTGGCTATGGCAGCGTCATGTTCAGGTATCTATTGTATTATTTGGCATTATATTTATATTTAGATATTTGTTTTGATGGGTGAAATTGTGAGTCAATGATTGCACCAAAAAATGTAAATAGAATTTAAAAAATAATAAAACAACTAGGAACTTAGTTTTGTTCCGGAACCGATCGGGCTTACATTCAGATTTTTTTTAGTACCAGCAACTGTTATTGTTACGATTGTATTTTAGTTTTTTGCACATGTTTGCCCCATTTGAAATAAAATGACATTGTATACGAGTTATGTCGCTGTAATAAAAGTATTCTTACTGTTCAATTACATATTTTGTTACTTTTTTACACAGGTACGGACTCGAATACCTTATTTATGACAAGACGAGAGTTGTTTATGATCATGAAGAATTCCGGCCATAAAAAACTTCAAGATCAGATAGATTCACTTCAGAAGGAAATCGAAAAAAGAACTGAATGTGACGGTCGTTTTCGGACAGCTATTTCGCAAACGCTAAATCGTTTTAAATCTGACTATAAGTCACGATGGGAAGCAGCGCACCGCATGGAAGATAGGTTTTGTGATAAAAATAAAACGTGGCTAGATACATCACTTTCCTTTCCTACCCTTAAAATAAAACGAAGCATTTCCGGTCGTCCAGCAAAACCTTTTGAGCAAAGCACAAACAGGATAAAGCGACAAAAGACTTCCGAGTTGAGAAAGAGTACGCCTTTACCTGAGCTGGTTTATGCCACACAAGTGAAACTGAGAGCTTCAGGACAGGGTCCGGCTTCAAAAGTTATTACAGATATTTTATCGGATCCATCAAAACCTAGTGAATATTCAAAAGCCTATAAACAATCACTTGATGTAGTTCTGATGTCAGGAGAGGATAGTGTAGCACTTATAGTGGAAGCGAACTTATCTCGTTATCAATACAATCTAATAAGATCGAAATCTCCGAAAATCTACTCGTCCTATAAAGTCGTACAGACTGTAAAAAAACAATGTTACCCAGAGCCAAATAAAATCATTATTAGTGAAACTTCTGTACATGTCGATTTGCAGACAATGAATGAAAAATTACAGAAAATTTAATTATCGACGTGTTTGTGGTTTGACAGTTGAATTTTTTAACGTTTCAGGAAGCTCCGAGAGACGGCGTCACGGACGAGAATTGTTAGTCTGCTCTAAGTGCTGCTATGGTATACTTTCGATTTTAGTTTTTTTCTTGTTCTGGTAACATAAGCGGAACTTTAGCTCTGGCAACAGGGGATGTTCACTTTTGTCATCGGCCGGTTTGGATAAGAAGGGTTTTGGGCCATTATAATTTTTTACATTTGTAATTCGTTTTCATTTGTTGTAATCAGAGGATTAATTCACCTTTTATTGTTGGCCAGTCTCGTTAATGATAAGAGTTGTTTGTTGGAATTGTCATTTTAACTATTTTGGAGTTATTATTAGTAACGCCTCTGATTTATTTGTGAGACGATTTGGAACCCTGTGTAACAGGGTTTTTTGTTTATTAGATTGGGTTTCCTTCTTATTAGATTGTAATGTCCTTACGTTACAATTAGTTTTTACCTCACTACCTGCCCGATCCAAGGATTTAGTTTGCTGCGGAGTGTGGATTTCCTTTCTTATGTAGCTGTAATGGCAGGAAAAGCCCTTTGGCTGTAGCCCATTATCAGGATTTGCTTGAGACCGGATCCAGGAACCTTGGAATACTTACCCCGCCACTACAACCACGTGGGAGCACGAGTGAGATTTATAAGAATTAATTATACCCTAATTTCAAACGGACAGAGCCAAAGTCATTGGGTACGTTTTTTTGTTGTATTAATTTTGTCGGCGTGGTCATAACGTATACTGCAGGTTCTAAGGGGTGTTATTTTTATTATGGGAGTAGGTCGTTATGATAACTACCCTTAAGTATTTACCTATTTAACAGTCTTTATGTGAATGTAAAAAAATATTTTCTATTAATTTGTATTAGCAAGATTAACAGATTGCATTAATGACAGTACTAATTTGAGTATAAGAATTACATTTGTAATTAGACCTATAATATACCATGTACTCTACAGACACTACGGGATAATAAACTGCCACTTAATCTTATAACATATCTTTATTTAATAGCTGCCCCCCCATCCTAGTTTAAAAGTCTAAGCGCTGACCGAGCTGTTCGAGGCATTTATTGTATTTGTTGTTAGTTGTCTGTGTTCATTTAAGGTTAAGGCACCTGGCGCCCGAGATTATTGGTTTTGTTAGAATTTGTGGTGCCGCACAAGTTAGTTTATTCATTTATATGAACATAGACACACATTACCATAACATTCACATTAATTATTTTTTTTTAATTTTTTAATATTACAATTGTCGCCAGCGCTCAGGGACTGAAGTGGTGTCTGTAGGTTAATTAGATAACTAATAAGATACTGTCTTTACTGCATTCTACTTTTGTATTACTTACCTTGTGTATTATTTACTTTGTAATTTTGTGACATTTGTGTTAACATTTAAGTGAGGTTATATTCACAATTTTTCAACATTAGTTTACAACATTGTGTCCTTTTTCACAATGTTGTAAACTAATGTTGCTTTAACAAACAATAATAATTTAAGTTATTCTGCTGCCTATTGTATTCTCAATTAAGGGTATAGTTACTTGAACATTTTGTTTTACAATTTAATACGAGGGCGGGTCAATAAGTCCGTGACTTTTTGAATTTCTGACCTCTTTACTGAAAAAGCAACACTACTCCTGTCAACAGGCATCTGTCAGTTGACTCCTGTCCAAATTTGAACTAGCTGCGTCAGTTAGTTTGTGTTTGACAGCTATCTTTATCAGACTACCCAGTAATTTGAGGAAAAAATGGAAAAAAGTGAATTTCGTGTGCTTATTAAGCATTATTTTTTGCCAAAAAAAACCATTACCGAGACCAAGGCTAAGCTTGATAAATACTATGGGGACTCTGCACCATCGATTTCAATGGTAAAAAAGTGTTTTACTGAATTTCGTTGTGGCCGTACAAGCACTGAAGATGCCGAACGTTCTGGACACCCAGTTGAGGTCTCTTCACCCGAAACAATCGAAAAAATTCACGATATGGTGTTGGCCGACCGAAGATTGAAAGTGCAAGAGATTATGGAAGCCGTAGGGATCTCGCATGGCTCAGTGGTTTCAATTTTGAATGATCACTTGGGTAATGAGAAAGCTTTCCGCAAGATGGGTGCCGCGATTGCTCACAGTCGACCACAAACGCAATCGTGTAACAACTTCACAGGAAGGTTTGGCGTTGTTTAATCGCAATATGGAGGAGTTTTTGCGCCGTTTTGTAACCGTGGACGAAACATGGATCCATCACAACACACCAGAGACCAAACAACAGTCAAAACAGTGGGTTTCTAAGGGTGAATCGGCGCCAAAGAAGGCCAAGGTGGGTTTGTCAGCCAATAAAGTTATGGCGACTGTCTTTTGGGATGCACGCGGGATAATCCACATTGACTACCTTCAAAAGGGATGAACAATCAATGGGGAATATTATGCCAACTTATTGGACCGATTCAATGACGATTTGAAAAAAAACCGGCCTCATTTGGCCAAGAAAAAAGTTCTTTTCTACCAAGACAATGCAAGGGTGCACACATGTGCAGTTGCCATGGCAAAAATCCATGAATTGGGCTATGAATTGCTCCCTCATCCGCCCTATTCTCCAGATTTCGCTCCGAGTGACTACTTCTTGTTCCAAAACCTGAAGAAATGGCTTGGTGGAAAAAGATTTGACTCCAATGATGAAGTCGCAAACAAAGGCCTATTTTGAGGACCTCGACAAATCATATTTTTTGGAAGGAATAAAAAAATTGGAGAAGCGTTGGACAAAGTGTATAGAGCTCAAGGGAGACTACGTTGAAAAATAAAATGAAAATGAATTTTCTTATTGGATTGTAATGTCATTACGTTACATTTGAATTTACGTAATTTAGTTTGTTTGTTTGTTTAGAACACAGATAACAATTAACATTTCACACAATTACATCCAAAAATTTTTTTTTTAATTTTTTAATATTACAATAGATAACAATTTATATTACACAATTACATTCAAATAAAAAAAAATTTTTTTTTAATATTACACTAATTCGTGTTTATGGTTTCTGTGCTTTATTTTTTTTTTTCTTATTTTGTAATAAACCATTAACAACTATTGGGTAAATCCATTTGATAACATGTATCAATTTACTTACTGTAACGGTGCATTTCACACCATTACAGTAAATTGAATCATAGACGTGTTTTTAGTTTGTCAGTCGAATTTTGTGACGTTTCAGCGAGTGCCGAGTGTCGATGAGGTGGACGAGAATAATAGTCGGTGCTGTTCGTCTATGGTAATTTATCGATTTGGTTTTTCTTGTTCTGGCAACATTTGGACGCGTCATAGTGAAAAGGCATTTATGGCGTCACATTGGTCTTTGTCTGGGTCGAAGAAGGTTTAGATTTTTAAAATGTAGCCTTTTTGTTGTAACGATATTTCATATTTTATTGTTTGGCCAATCTCGTTAAAGATTCAAATTATATTGTTCGAATTGTTATTTTTATTAAAAAGGAATTAATTATAATGCCGCTGCTTAGTTTGTGAAACATTTTGGGACCCTGATGAATCAGGGTTTTTTTTTTAGTTTAAATCTAAATTTTTAGTTTATATCTAGTTCTCGTTGAAATTATACATTATTTTCTTATTGGATTGGAATGTCATTGCGTGACATTTGGATTTTGCCTCTCTGCCGGCCTGACCCAAGGATTTAGTTTGCTGTGGAGCACTTATAATGGTAGTAAAAGCTGTTTAGCTGCAGTCCATTATCGGGAACCTGGGAATACTAACCCGCCTCTTCCACCACGTGGGAACCGGAGTGAGATGTTTTAGATTTGGTTTGACTTCATTTCATTCGGACTGAGCCAAGGTCATTTGGTATGTGTTTTTATTAATTTGTTTGGCGTTGTGGCGTGCGATACTGCAGGCCCCCCAAGGGGTGTTATTTTTACTAGAGAGTAGGTCGATGCCACAACTACCCTTAGTTTCATTCCTTATTGAGTTTTTATGTGACTCTTAAAACATATTTAATCTTATATTGTTTTTTTTATTATTTGAAAAGGATTGCATTAATGACAGTACTATTTTGAGTATAAGAATTACCTATTGTAATTAGAGTCCTAAGATACGTTGTACTCTACAGACACTACGGGATAATAAACTGCCACTAGAACTTAACATCTTGTATTCATTAGCTGCCCCCCGTCCTAGATTAAAGGTCTAGCGCTGACCGAGTTGTCCGAGGCATTTATTGTATTTGTGGTTGGTTCTGTGTTCTTTTAAGGTGGTATCTGGCGCCCGAGATTTTTAGTTTGTTATTTTGTTAGTATTTGTGATGCCACCAGTTAGTTTTATTTGTTATAACACAAACCCCACCCATAAAATATTTTTTTTAATTTTTTAATATTACAATACGAACTGCCAAGAAATCTGGACCAGCTTATAAAGTGCATGAAATGACCTATGACCGCTTTTACGATTTGAAAGCCTTGCAAGAAGCTTGGGGATCGAATTTCAACATGGACGAACATGGCAATCAACTAAAATGGCAGGAAATTAAAGTCCTGAAAGTTGAAAAGGATAGTCCCATGTCCTTCTTCTTTAAGACATCTTTTTCAGACACAGAATTTAAAAAGTGCTGGGTCAATAAGAGGAAGACCAGACGTACAGGAGTAGTGTCTACATCTAAAATCCCGTCCAACTTGAGCAGAGCATACACAGAGAAGATTCCTTTGTCGGATGCCAAAAAGAAAGATATACAAGAACTCGTGGATAAAAATGTCATTCCTAAGTCTTATTACGATATTTTTTACAAAAATGTTTTGTAAAACATTTTTTTATTTTGTTCTCAACTGAATTGATATTTTTTTATGATTCTAGTTTAAGAACAAAGTGCCATTAACAAACGTATCTCTATTAGTAGTAAGAAAGTACCTACTTATTATTTATAAATTATTTTAACTGTGATTTGAAAGTAAGTAAGTAAGGTATTCTGTAAGTGTTAGCTTAAAAAGTGAGACTGGCTTAGAATTATATAGAGTAAAAGATAAAGATGTTGAGTTTCAGAGCTTTTGTTAGAGGTAACTTTTTTTGCTATGATAAAAAATGTTCATGTTGATTTTGATTATTTAAGTTCTATTAATACTCCTTAATATTGTTGTTAATTACATAGCAAAAATTATATTCTTGTTACGTAGAAAAGACTTCTAATAGCAACTGTTATTACAAAAAATACAATAATTACCTAGTAAGTACTATTTAGTTGGACATAGTGAACTAAAATAGTGACTTTTTATTTTTCTTTTACCTATTCTTGTTGTTATGTAAAATAAACAACCACTTTCATTTAATTACAAAATGGTTTTATTTTCATGTTTAATCTGTTTTACCTAATGTTATAAAGCTAGTTTTCAACTTAGTGAGTTTTTAACGCCACCTGTACGTCGCATAATTTTAAGGTGCAAAGTAATATAACTCATTTTAATTTCAGATAAAGTAAAGTTATTCTAAATATGACATAAGAAAATTTCATATTACCTAAAGAAAACAGAACTAACTAAAAAAAAGAGTTTTTTTTTAAACTTTTCTGACAATAGCATTAAAAAGTAGGTCATTAAAAAGGCTCTAGAACTTTACCTATCATAATAATTATTAGTATACTCAATATCTTTAGTAAATACTCCGAAAACAGTTTTTAGTCATTTCTGAAAAAACGTTTTTTTGAATTGCCGGAGTTTTCATCTAGGGGTGCGATATTTTAGATAAGATTTTTGTTAATTTAATAATTTCTATGTCACTTACATATCAACTTTTGGGTTTATTGTTGTTTTTGATTTTGTACTTTTTATAAAGAATTATAGTATAATTACCTACTATAAATATACAACTTTGAGATTTTGGATATTTGTTTTATTTTATCCTTTTGTTTTGTCACTTATAAGCAACAAAGTCATTTTAATGCATATCTTCAAACATTGGATAGTTTTTGTTGTAAGAATGACGTATTGCGGGGAACTTTTTACTATAATAATGACTTTAAAAACGAAGTTCAGTTTTGCAAGAATATCAGAGCCCATCAAAGGGGAAACCCAGGCTGAAGACGCAGGACGCCATCACTATGGATGAACTAGGTACAATAATGACATTTGTGAAGACTACATTTTTTTATAATTTGTTGTAGGAGAACAGTATGTTTAAGACAACACATAATTGTTTAATTTGAAAGTGAATTAATGTAAAAAGCCAATTTAATCATTTTGATTAACCGCTTTTTTATGAAATACTGAAGGTTCAAAGTTTCAAACTGCCTTCCTGTAAAATGATAATTTTTCATTATGTCCTTGTTGCAACAAGTCAGCGACAAGTCTATCACCCCTGTTTTGTTTTCTTGCTCTTGTTTTTTGCCCACTGCGCTGAGCACATGTGTAATATTAAAATAACTATTTATTTTAAACCACTCGCGTACACATTTTACCACCTACATTTCAACATTTTATAGTCTTCTTTGACACAAAAAAGCAAATAACCACTAAAAACGCCCTAAACGGTAAACCCGAAACCGCATAATCTTTTCTACAAACTCAAATTTACTCAGTCATGACAGTCATAGACTACATGGACATGTCAATAGACAACATGTCGTGGATGAAAAAAATCTTGTTAGTCATTAACAATGCTCAACAAAATAAAACGTTTTAAACTTTAACCACGACTGATTTTATTTTATGCCTTAGCATATGATTAGTTAAAATAAATGTGTTACATAAAAACCCTTAGAAATAGATTAATTAAAAAAAGGTTACCCTTGAAGAGAGTATATAATTTTAACTCTTAACACGTTGCCTTTCAGCTAGGAGTATATTCATACGTAGTACAAAGTGCCGAGCATTTTCGTGTTTTAAGCAAAAACCCTTTAAATCATTCTATGAAAAACCATGAAGGTAACATTAGGTTTGGTAAAGCTTAAGGCAATTTTGGCATGTATGGATAATCCTGCTTTGTATGTTCCTTCTACCTAAATCTGTGAAAGAAGCTTGGGGCTTCTGCAATATGTCATAAACTTTTTTAAACAGCTCTCAAGTTTCATCGTCATTAATATCTTCATTTCACAAATCATCATCAATAGCCTTTAATAGTACATTGCTGGACATAGGTCTCTCCCTAGAAATAAATACTAAATACTTCGAAAATATTTATAAAATTATTATTCGAAAATAATGATAAATTGGTGGATTAAAACCAATTTTTGTCGTAGAACCATAGCGGAAGAACGTTTTCCACCGGAGTGATACCTCACAGAAAACCTATGTTGCTTTTCACCGAGTGAACACCAACACTCTCACACTCTCCCGCAAAGGGGACTTAAAGGGTGCCAACGCACCTGTTACTCTTGAGTTGCATGTATATCATTATATTCGTGTACTTGTAAACTTAAACTTAATTAACTTTCGTGTAATAAGCTTGTACGTACGCTGGGAATCTGCATGTAAGTAAAAAATGGGCAAATATTTTGGTCTGGTGGTAAATGACCCTGACTACTAAGGCAGAGTTCGATTCGACTCAGCACAAATAATTGTGTGATGAGCACTATCATTTGTTTTCTGTATAAGTATAATTTTTCATAATAATATTATGTATTTATTTGACCTCGAGGCAGACCACCTGCCCGACGGTCAGACGACATTGTGAGGGCGATAGGAGAGCAATGGATTCGGCTGGCACAAGACCTCCAAGAGTGGCGTGATAGAGAAGAGGCCTAGGGAGAGGATAGATTCAGAAACTTAATTATGTTTATCAGCGGTTATATTACCATAGCACCGACTCTGCCTACTTTGTAAACAGTTATTATTATTTATTTTGTTAATAGCGAAGAGTAAATCCCTTAAAAAAAATACGATAAGTTATTGGTTGATGTCATCATCACATTAATAAATATCAGTTATTTCACGTGATGTGCCTGTTTCTTTCACTCTCCTTCGCTGGTCTCGAAACAGACTCATTAGGAGTAATAATAAACTATTTGCAGGATTTGCCTAAAGAAACCGAATTTCATTATACCGACCGATGTCATAATACCCGCGGCTCCACCCGCATGTACGTGAAAAGCAGCCTATGTTACTCTCAGGGGCGTATCTTGAAATTTGGCGCCTCGGGCCAATAAGTTTCGCCGCCCCAGAAGCCAAGAGAAAAACGATTAAAATTAAAAATACATTTTTTTTTAATTTCAATAAAGTCTACATTTTTTTGCGGTGAACAAATTTATTTACAAAGTCATTAATGATGATTTCGTTACTTAGATGCTTTGTTTAATCGGCTTCAATATTGAGAATCGCTAAACTATTTAAACGTTCTTCAAAAATCCGTGAGCGAAGATAATTCTTCTCTTTTCAGAACCGAAAACGATCTTTCTGTATCAGTGACAAACTGCAGTGCACAAAAAGATGCGTAGCGCAATTTCCGTGTATGGAAAAGCTTCTTTCAGATCTCTTTTTTTTAAATAGAGATTTAGCTGTTTCGAGCTCATATTTTGTTCAATCGATTTCAAAAATGTTTTAAGAGAACATATTCTTCTTGTAATTCTTCCGCAAGATCTTTCGGGTACGATTGCTGCAGATTTTTGGCGTGAAGTCGGAGATGGCTTCAGACAATATATATTTATTTTAGACAAAAATGCGTTAAGTCCGGTTACTCCGTCATATAAAATCTTGCGCCGCTTTGGTTGTCCCAACAATTGGTCGCATACAGGAAAGAAGGCATATCTATATTCAAAATGCAATCAAATATTAGTATTGAAGCCAGGGCTAATATTATAGCTTTATGTGGGCTTAATATCTGAAATGTCCAGGTAAACCCGCTTAAGTGTAAGTTATTTTGATGGACTGAGTGATGAAAATTGTGGTGTATGATTTTATTTTATAATCTCAGTATTGGGACGAAATGTCTAGTAAAAATTTTTTTTTTTGAAAAAAAAACTGTGAGACGTTGAGTGAAAAGATTTTTAACCAGTCGCTACTTGTTAACCAGTCTCATCATCATCATCAACAGCCTATAAAAGTCCACTCCTGAACATAGGCCTCTCCTTAGAATTGAGGTTTTGGCTTACTCCAGCCGCAGCGATGCTTAATGGTTGGTGAATGTGACACAAATGGTTCCAAACTAACTAGACTCCAATTACGTCGAGGTTTCGAACGACATAAAGCTACCTACTTTGCTGTGTGCTACCAGTTTATCCCGTGGACGAATTTAGTGAACTTATTTTATTTAAGATAACTGTGCGATATACCGTGCTGGTATTGTGAGTGAATGGTTTCAGTCTCATCATGTTAAGATTACTCCAGCCAGCGCGATCCCCTGATCTAAACCGTGTAGAAAACGTATGGTGTTTAGTAGCTGCATCTAGTGCATGCGTCAACGTCTTAGTGTATTATAAACAATGGAGGTCACACTTAGTATGAATAAAACTAAACGTTTTACTCAAATTAGGGGATGCGCTGGCTGTAATAGTCATAAGTTAGTTTATAATTGTAAAACAGAGGTCAAGTTTCAATCTTCTTTTCCTTGAGAAAATGAACATATTAAACTCAACCTTTATAAATAACAAGAACAAATTGTATAATCAAAATAGTTTATGAAAATAGTAAACTTAAATGTGTTTATTTTAATGTTTGGTTTCTTTTAAAGGTTGATAATAATATGAATATAATATAAAAAATAATAACTTTGTTATTAAATTACATATTATACCTTTTTTCCGTAAGCTGCAGTCAGTCATTTTAAAGTAAGAGAGTCAAAAAATATATCCTGACATGAAAACAAAAAGTAATCAGGCACTGAGGCTTGAACAGTCCCCACTCGTCATCAAGTGTGGAAGTAAGCTAATCTTATACCACTGGTTCTAAGGACTACTGTGTTGAATTTAAGTAAAAGTTAGTTGAATTGCGCTAAAACCAAAACAAAAAGCAGTGGGCCAGGGGCGGCCCAGCCGCCCCTAGACCATTGGCGCCCCGGGCCATGGCCCGGATGGCCCTAGGGTAAATACGCCCCTGGTTACTCTCTGATAATGTAGCTTTCCATTGGTGAAAGAATTTTTAAAATCGGTTTTGTGGTTTAGACGTGAAAGCGTAAGAAATAAACAAACAAACTCATTTTCACATTTATAATAAAAGTATGGATTAAACAATAATTAACATTGTTTCTGTTTTGAAGAGGTTTGGTGAGTGCGAGTAATCGCTCTCTCTTTGTTGTTTAGTAGACTTCTAAGTAACTTACACGTGTTATTTTGAAAAAAGGATCCTCGAAATGTAAACCATCCTGAAAAGATGAGACGTTTAAAAGACTGCGGTCCCACAACATTGTTCTGTGTTTGGTTACATGGTTACACTTACGTTACTTACGACAGACTGATAATGTGTCCGATACTGTAGTCTGTAAGAGTAATTAAAGCATTAGAAATAATTCTCTAATTCAAGTACTGAACAAATTTTCTCCCTTAAATATTTTTAGAAACCCATGAAATATAAAACACAGTTTTCGAGTGTCATCAAAACTGTAAGTCTGGCAAGTGGCAACACTTTTGACAACTTCACTTCTCAATTCTCATTTCTCAACATCTTCAAATTGGATGAAATAATTTTCCTGATTTTCTACAACAAATCTTTCGTAGGCATCGGTAGTCTATTTAGTCGGACAGTCGCCGTTCAGACCTCGTACCGATTGCCAACTACAAACACGTACTCTTCAAAATATTGTAATAATTAATTGAGATCTTGGTGTTTTATATTAGCTAGGTTGTTTTTTTAGTCAAAATGTCTCAGGCACGATTTACATCTTGTATTCCGCTTCCATTGGATCAGAAAAAACTAGTAAACGTAATAGAAAAGGCTAAAGACTGGGCTTTGATGCACGGAGTCGGTATGCGGGACAGAAAACACTTCAACAAAGATGTGATTCAGGTACTTAATATATCGTTTAATTTATGTTAAAATCTTTTTCTAAACGTTGCTAATTAAATGGTTACAAACCATTTAATTAGCAACATTTAGAAAAATATTTTATTTCGTTTTCAATTATTACAAAAGAAACATAATTTAATTCTGTTAGTGTTACATATAGGCTCCTTTACTTATGAACTGATTACTAAAGTGTTTTTTTATTTGGTACTGTGTCGGTTTAATGGGAAGAACCAATTAATAATATATATAATAATATATCTCACACATCTCACACACGGCCGTCTGATCTCAAACTAGGCAGAGCCTGTACTATGGTAACCAGACCGCTGATAAACATACTTATATATTTTTAAATACATACATATTATAGATAAATTACACCCAGACAGAACAAATGACCGTGCTCATCACACAATATTTGTTCTGGGTGGGAATCGAACCCATGACCTCCGGCTCAGCAGTCAGGGTCACTAATCACTAGACCAACAGGCCCGTCAAAATTAATAATTAATTCCTTATTTAGTTGTTTTTAAGAAGTTAAGAACCCCTCAAATCAAAACTAATTGGTCTAAGCTGAAGTATTTTTAAGATGGTAACAGTAAAACATAATTATTAAAAAGAAGTTTGTAAAAAAGAAGTTTTTTTTTGTTATACAAATTATTAGCTAACATTTTAGCAATACAATTTATTTACCATTTAGCAAGAGTTATAGATATATAGCAAGTTTAATTGTGGTTTAAGTTCAAAATGTAATGTTTTAAGATAAGAAAGGAAGTTTAATAAAAAATGTTTGATCAACCAATGGAACACGCATAATTATGACCACATCTAAATGTTAAAAATAACTTGTGGAACTGACCCTGCTAAAATATAAGTTAATTATAATAATTAGCAGTGCTTTAGTTTTTGCTTCATCACTGGCCGAGCCTTCTCTCTCTCTTTCGAGTGAGTAAAGGTTATACTGCAGAAGCTTGCTTTAACAGACTTAACAAATCTTTCATCTATTATTTGTGAAATATGAGGCTTTAATGCTTTGCCAGAAATTTTTATTAGCTATTACAGAGAGTAATTAAGCACAACATTATATGTTACGTCACATCCCTCCAAAAGTGACTACTCACAGCAAAGATCTCATACCTGACTTACCTCTAAGGGATCTTTGATTTCAAAATTGTCATCATCTTTATTCCCTTCTTCTAACTGTGTTTAGTATGGGTATGTGCACTGTGTAACATCGCAAGGGCATATTTCTGTTATGCCTGATCACTTTACTGACACTAAATGTCTTTGGACAGGCTACTAGGACAGGGAGATAAACATGTCAGATGTCAATATTGTATGTACACTTACTAACAAAAACTTTGATTACGTGATTCAGGAACTTATCTCAGAAAATACAGATCTCAGCAATTGGCCTAAATGTAAAACTTACTAGAAAATAATTAACTTTAAAAAGAGTATGCACCTATTCTGAGATTAATTGTAATTTTTCATCGAATGGGACCAAAAGGGATGACTTCAAATTCAAAAGGAATTATCTAAGTTGGTTTAAAAATGATGGAGTTCGGAGGAAACACATTAAAAAAAACACAGCTGAATTGAGCCCTCCTTTTTTTCGTACTCGGTTAAAAAAGTGCTTGTCTTTTAATGATACAGCATTGAATTTTATTAGTTCGGATTATAATCAGAATTAAATAGTTATTAAATGAAAAACTTTGACATAAATTTTTGTAGTGGTTTTTAGCCTCTGGTCTCTTGTATAACATAGGATATTTTGAGGTACGACATAATCGCTTTTGGTTTTATTTAGTGGTACTCTTTAAATCTTACAAAATACAACAGCTTAGATAAAATTTTGTTACCAGATCGCACCATTTGCTCTGCTGCCGTCCCCATTCCCTAGGGCTGAGTTTGAAAAAGCTGTTGAATTGCAACCTGTATTGAATGAGCTTATGCATAAGGTAAGATTATTTAATGAAGTATAAATGCAAATTTGCAAAAAAATAAACTTAAAAAAGACAACTTCTGCATTAGGAATATATATCCTGTGTTGCGAAGGACTTTACAAACCTACATGAAACAGACACAAAGAACACCTAGACTCAGAAAAACAATTTGTGGATCACACAAAATGTCGTCAAGTGTGAAGTTTGAACCCACAACACTCGGTGTAGGAGGAAGCGGCGTGGCGACCGCTTAAACCACTACGCCATCCGTGCAGTCAGTTCTTAGTCTTTTAACAACTTTGTTCTCGTTACTTTCATATCAAACAGCAGGCTCTTTTACTGCCATTCTGATCCTTAAGCCATGTTTGACACTCTAACGCTTTTTATAAATAAATTGTGAACCAATAACATAGGCGTTTAAATAAAAGTATTCAGGCACAAAGAAAATCCTGTAGATCAGGACTAGAATGCTTGTCGCAGTGTTTGTTTGCAAATTCTTTCATACAAGTACTAACGGTATGTTATTGTAATATAACTATGTCAAGTGCAATGTGAAGTTTTTATTCTACACGACTGCGCTAGAAGGACGGTTATGTTTTTCGAGTCTGTGTGTGTATGTCTTTATCACGCTGTGTGTGTGTGTCTGAGTATGTCTTTGTCACGCTCTGTAGCCTAAGCGGCACGATGAATTTTGGCGTTTGAGGTGTCGTGAGACTGACACAGGGTAAAGTTAAAGCTAACCGGGTTTTTTTTTTCAATAATTAGTTTTAATTCAAAATGTTTAGGTGGCGCACGACGACGAGTTTTTAATGGGTACACTTCAAAATGCCTTACAAGTAGACGAGTTCACCGCCAACCTCTATGATATCTGGATGAAGGTTCGAAACGAAGAAATCAGACAGGTAAACATAATATTACTAGATATGAACAGAATCTGGGTGTAATTGTTTTATTTTAAACATTTAGCCACTCTTTGTATCAATATACACATGCACACCTAATGCGGCGAAGAAACCAGTAAGTATTTTTACAGAATGTGGCGTTAGTATTCACTTGGTAAAACCATCATGCGAGAACAAACTTGCATAAGTGATATACTACATTTAAATACATAGCGGTTTTATATATACCCATCCTGTCAATATATTTACAATTATACACTAAAATTATTCACTATTTTGTTTGATTGATTCTTAATCACAATATATGTATTATATTAGTTTGCATTTTGATTGTCTAAGTTCTATGTTGTACCTAAGTTTATGTAATAGCTATTTCAGCTCATAACAACACCCACATTCTGCTCTGTCGTCTACATAATTCATTGCAGACGCAATATCTTCTCAAAATTCAAATCCGAAGTTAGAGCAGTATCAATATTGTGTATGCATGGTCATATTGTTCTGCATCATGTAACCGAACTGATGGATCAGTCAAGTGCTGTTCGACACTCAATACAATGCGTGTCCACAACAAATGACTGATTCTAATGGCTAAATTAATCTTCATTTATGTCATCGCCGCACGTGTATGTAAAATATGCCATGTGGCATAGCCAATATCGCTAGGGATGCTGCGCTCCGACATCATGCTGGAGTCTCGATGCCCGCACACGGAGAACCAATGCGCTAAACATGCTCCTTACTGCTCCTGGAAACAAGTGGAAATCAACAGCATCGCATCAGGATTCGGACACATGGGCCCCAAGACGAGGGAAATTCAGAGGTAGAAGATGTACAGAGTGCGTTTATGAAACTCATTCACACATTCAAATAAAATTTGTTTGTTACGGCTGTGATTATTAGCATAGCAAAGCATTTAGTGTTAGTTCTACACTGACTGGTAAATTATATTCAAAGCTATAAAAGTGCTTTTTGTCTTGTGCTTCGACTTAAACTTACTTAGACGGCAATGAAATGCTAAGAAACTTTTACAATAGCGAAGTATTATATAATAAATGATGTTATATATGTACGATATAGAAATTGACTTGCTTCCTATTATCCTTACTGTACTACTGTGTACCTTTTGCAGGGTATATCTTTGATTACCAGCCTAAAAATATCGTCAGTAGCTTGATAAGTAAATAAGTTTACTCTATGTCTTATCTGTATTAATAAAACTTATAAAAATGTTGAACTATAACACTATATTTTACAAAATGTCAGAGACATAGATTATTCGATCTCCGACTTTATAAAAAGAAATGAATTCTTTATTGTTGCGAGCATTTGTTTAATATTCGTATTCATATACTAATTATTGGTAGGTACACGTAAATACCGAAACGAAAACAAGACACAAAAACCATTCGGCCAATTAGTGAATGTGTGGGTGAGATTTCAATTATGTAACTCTAAGTAACATTGAAGAATCGGGCGACGCGTTCAGTTATGCCTGACCTAGGTATTAATAGACAAAGAGACGTTACTAGAAATGTTTTTTTTTCAATATTTACCTGAATGGTAGCGATTCTGTTGGACATTTAAAAATGCCAGGATTAGTATTCGTAATTAGTGATTTACCATTTTACTCAATGTATGTAAATCTGGTATGCGGGCCTAGCTCCAGATAACACGAGAGGATTTTATCATCACTATTACTTTTTCCAAAATTTAGACAACTTTTTAGTGGGTAAAAAATTCAATTCCCGAGAGGCAGTACAAAATGCCTTTGAAGAGTTTGTTGCCTCCCGTCCAGCTGATTTTTACAAGAAGGGCATCAATAAACTGCCAATGCGTTGGCAAAGATGCGTCGATTGCATGGGTGATTACTTCGAATAACAGAAATAAAAAAGTTTGAAAAAATAAGTACTTTCACTTATTGCATACAAAACGGCAATTTCATAGGTAAAGACCTAATAGAATCGACACCATTATTAGTTGTCAACAGACCTTTTTATTTGCTGTACCATAAACAAGTCGAAGCATAATGTGTTGTTTTAACTTTATATTTGTTGTTTTTATCAGTCAATGACAACATTTCTAGTAAGGTTTACTTTAAGACTAACAAGCTAACTCATTTCGTAGTTGACAATACATACCATAGTAGTATGTATATTATTGTTTAATAAAAACAGTTATGACTGTTCTTAGTGATGAATGTTTAATTCTGAATGTCTTGTTTGTCTAATAACATGTTCTAATACCTTTAATATTTGTTTGTATTTTGCATTGTCATGGTTATAATTCGTTCGTATTAGATAATGTATGCAGGCCATGAGGATTGCTGTATTGTAAAATTTGTAATAATATATGTCGCCTGTAGCTTATCTAAATTGTATGAACAGTAAATGCATGTTTTTTTAATGAACAATGTAATTTACGGACAACTGGACGTGTTGCCCGCCCTAAGCTAATACCCGTAATGCGACTTAATTTCTTAATGAATAACGAATATAAGGGACTGATGTGTTGTTGTTTATTAATAGAACTAATGTTAGTTGTGAGAAACCAATGTTTAGAATTGTTGAATGCAATATACATGACAGTCTTTTATTGTCTTAGAGATAAGATTTTATTGATTTACTTGATTATAATTTGCTTCCTTCTTTAGCAGTAGACAATTTATTTGTATAATTTTATTAGATTTATTGTTTAAGATTATGATTGGTAATTTGAAAAACTTTTTTAGTTTAATTAGTATTATTAACAAATAGAAGAAAGTTTCGAGTAAATTAGAAATTATGAGGTCTTTATTATGGTTTTAGATACTTAGTGCAACATTTCATAATCTTGTGCCACATCTCAAATATAGGAGTGTGGTAGTTTATGCATTTTCACTCATTCTAATTCCTTTGCTTTCGTAAATAGCATAAAGCTTATACCCATTTTTATTATATTAGTAGTATTTTTTGCAATAAAAACGAATAAAATGTAATCAAAGAAGTGAAATAATAAACTCTATTTTAGTGCTTAACGATCTCCCATAATTATTTCATGTAAAGAGAACGAGAAAATAATATATAAGTATATGCAAACAGTGTTTCGTAGACATCATCACATAAGCCAATGTTTTTCAAATTACCGAAAAATATTGCTGTACTTAGATGGTTGATTTTGCATTGTACAGCTAGCTGTAAATAGGCTGCTCTTTGCACGGCAGTAACGCATGTGCACAAAATAATACTAATGTAATGAAGTGTATGTAGTTAATCGGCTATCAATAGAGCTCAATGAAACGACAGCAGACTGGTTTTTGTTTAAAAAATATACTGCGGAAATGTTGAAGGATGCCAATGCCCAATACACTGTAAACCGTCATAAGTATGTTTTTGATGTGGAACGTCTTAATTCTCGTTTTTCTGGCATCTGTGCGTCGTGAAAAGAGCACTATACACATTGCACCAATGTACTGGGTCAGCCTATTGGGCCAACGAGTAAAGGCCCACTTGGCGCTATATTGGTAGTTGGCGACAACACTGGCCGGCCAACCGATTAGTGTCCGTTTTTCTTTATAGATATTATAAACCAGCTTTTTTATTAGGTAAATATTTAATCAGATACGTTTAATAAGGTTCAATTATTATTATTCTAAAAATACTTACGCCTATACAGCCAATATAAATTGAAAAATTACCATACGAAATTATGACGCTACGTCATTACGTACTTTTTTTACATTAGTCTAAATCATACTGATTTCGGGAAACAAATTACGATTAATTTAAGCGTACTTACATTTAACTACCTACTTTAGAAAACGTTTGTATATGAATTATCAAATAACTTCTTCATGTTTAGTACCTTTTAATTATCATATTAGAATTAAATTCCAAGATAAAGTACTTCTCGGTTGAAGTAGATTTTTCAAAAGGTCATAACTTTTGTTCTTGTATATTTTTTTCATTAAAATAATTGTTTTACGTTACGTAAAATCATTTTAATAAGACTTATTTTTATTTTTAAACTGGAGTGCTTCTAAGAATAGTTTTAAACAATTTTATTTTATTTCAAACCTTTACTTTTGCTGTACTTTTACGTCAATACTGTTTTTATGTTTTCTCTGAAGTTTCATAATAATGCACCTATTTGCCTCGCGTGACTAACTACTTTCCCGTTTCCCGTATTATCAATTGTATTTCTAACTTCCCAACTATCGAGTTGATTCATACTAACAACAATGATGCGATACGTGGCATTAAAATGACGTACACTCTGGAGGTCTTACCACCAGCACGTGGTAATGACATACCTAACCGTAGAACAAACTGGAATAGTTCACATCGAAACTAATTACTTATTATCGTAATTGTGTCTTGCAAAAAATACATATCAGCTAAGTTTCCGTTTAAACGTTGTAGTTTTTATCAGTAGAGAAGGAATTTGAATATTTTACCACTATCACTGAAGAGAGAGAAGAGAAATTCACATCAGTCAGTGATGTTAAGTATTGTATTTTCTCAATAAGTAGTTATCAAGACAACTCCGAAATAATTCAGCATTTTTTTTCGATTTCATTTTAGTACAAATATTATTTTTGCGGAATTTATAATAAAAGCCAACTTATTTCTTTTACAGACTTTATATATTTAGTCAGTGATTGCATTATCGGTTTTTTAAAGTTATAAGAGGCTAATAATATACGTAAAACATAGAATCATCAAAATCGGTTCACGTAGTCAAAAGTTCTGAGGTAACACCATACAAAAAAAAAATACAGTCGAATTGAGAACCTCCTCCTTTTTTTGAAGTCGGTTAAATATCTATATAAATATGTATGCATTGCATATATGGATATTTATTTTGGGTCTGGTGTAGAGAGTGGTATAGCTGTTTTTGTCAGGCCAAACTATAACAGTATGCGTAAAAGGATTTGGTGTCCCTCTTAACTACATGTTGTAGCGTACTGTGTGTAGTAGCACTAATACATCGATAATGAGTCGTAAGAAAACAATGGTATTGAAAAATGTTTGATCGTAAATGTTTATTAACAACAAGTCTAAGTCTCACGACTTGACATCTAAACAAATATCAATGGTAGTGATCGATACTTGGACAATAAGAGAACCAACTATTTTCCTAAAGATATTATCGCGTACCGGTTAAACTTTAACGTCCTTCTTTCTCTATTTAATCATCAAAGAAACCACTGTTTCTTAACTGTACACCGTGTATAGATGAATATATAATGAGGCTCCATAATAGTTGAAAGCGTTCAATGTTTTTTAAAAGAGTACCACAGATTAAAACGACCATAATTATAATAGGTCTTTATCTATAAAGTTGGAAATTTTTAAAACCTGCATTTTCAGAGTAAATTATCTATGAATTGGCGGGCAATTCTAAATTCAAATAAATTTTAATGAAAAGCCGTTATTTTAATTTAAAATCCAGTCATTTGTTTTAGATAGTGTTTTGTTTTTGTGAAATTGTTGTACTTTTTGGCGCCATGGATACACTAAATATTCGAACAATCTTCGAATATGAGTTCCTACGTGGAAATACCGTTGCACAAACAACACGAAACATTAACGCCGTGTACGGGCCTAACACTGCTTGCATAAACAAACACTGTCCATTGTTGGTTCAATCGTTTTAGATCTAGAAATTTTGAGTTGAAGAACGAGGCTCGCGGTCGGATGGTAACTGTAGTCGACAACGACGAATAGCACCGGGCACGTTCCAGCCTGCAGATATTAAAATTTCAAAATAAAAAAAACTCATTTTATAGATCTCAATTAGCCCTTTCGACCAACGTTAATTAATTTATAAGCCCGTTTTTCGTTTTCCCAGGAAAAATTGAAATATAATTTTCAATTTTCCTCGGTGCCCGGTACGAATAGCAGGCGATAGTGGAAACGGATGCAACTCGATCTACTGCTCAGCTTGTTACGGGCTTTGGAGTTAGTGTCAAAACAACATTGAAGCACTTGCGTCAAATCGAAAAAAAAAAGCTAGATAAGTGGGTGTCGCACGAACTAAGCGACCACAGCGAGCAATCGGCATAGAAACCGGGGAATTCTGAATCGAATTATTATCTGCGATGAAAAATGGATCCTGTGCGACAACTGTAAGCGTTCGTCTTAGAGGGTGGACCGGGGTACGACAACTAATCAGTGCGCTGAAAGAAAGATAACCCATAGGAAGATGGTGGTGACTTTCTGGTGGACCAGTGCCGGACTTGTACATCACAGCTTCTTACCGAAACACGGAAGATGTATATTGCCAAGAATTGCAAACAATGATGGAGAAGCTCACAATTCAATAACCACGGCTGGTGAATCGCTCTTCCCCATTGCTTCGCCACGACAACGCGTGAGCTCACACTTCACGACAGCCCATCGCAAAGCTGCAAGAGTTACAGCTGGAAGCTCTCCGTCACCCACCGTACTCGCTGGACCTTGACCCAACAGATTTCTACTTTTTTCTAAATTTGTCAAATTTGTCAAATTTTTCAAAAAAATTCAACACCCAAGAGGCAGTACGAAACGCTTTCGCTGAGTTTATCGCCTCCCGTAAAGCAGACTACTACAGCAAAGAGATAAACAAATTGCTATTGAAAAGACAAAATTGATGTGACATTATAGATATTTTGGGCCGTAATTTTATTAACTAAAATAAAAAATAAAAATAAAATATATTTGTAAGTTACCATACAAATCTCCAACTACATAGGCAGAACTAATATTATAGTCCCACTTTATATTGTCTAGGTGTTTGTGGTTGCACTCTTTCGAAATGACCGATTTTATTCATTTTTTGGATAATTGGTAGGTATGAGAATAGGTCGAAAGTATTTTTCACCGTCCTACTACCCAGTTTTAAACGCGATTTTGGTTAAATGGCGTTTGTCGGGGCAGCCACTATTATTATATCATACCATTGTATTAAACTCGGATTGATCAATTTTATTTATATGTAGGATATTTCCAACAGGAAGCGGTTACCTCAATTATTAAGAAAAATTGAAACTGTAATTCTTACTGTTTTTCAAATATCCTAGATATATTAAGTTAACAACAGAACAGTTTAATTAGACTGACCTTTAAAAAAAATGTACCTTCAAACTGACTTGTGGTGAAAAGTATTTAGTACTAAATACCTATTTTTAAGTCTAGATATATTTTGTAATTAGGTGATGGTGCAGACAGAAGAGGAATTATGTATATTATATAACTCTTTCTACGAACAATGCGTTGGACAGAATTTCACATAGTTCATTAATTACAGTCACTCAGCTTGGGCCTGTTCCGCTCGGACTACCTGATGCAGCAAGCTGACAAGTATAAAATCAAGCAAGTGGAGTTTAACACGATCGCCACAAGTTTTGGCGCGATATCGTCGCGTCTACCCGCAATGACTCGGTACCGACACGTTTGATGCACACCTTGGCCATTATTTGGATACAAGATAGAATTTTAAAAAAGTTTGCAAATGTCAAACTGGCTTTTTTTTTTAATTCGTGTTTTTTTAAACTAGTATCCAGGTAACTGGCCCAGGTAACAATATTCAGTCAACATCTCTCATGTGACTGCTGTCTTTTCGTCTGCACGCCCCATCTTTCTTTTAAGTTTCAATCACTGCACTTTGCGCTTTGCTTTCATTCTGGTGGCTGAATAAGAAGGCATGTTTTGAAGTACCGCTTCTTAGATATGTAAGATGTTTACATGTATTTTTTTTTATCGAGTCGGTAAGCATTATTAATTGTTTTAGTTATTAGACAGTTGATGCGTGCATGTATTGGTATTGGGAGCTTTAGATCGCTTTGGTAGCACGATCACTTGAGAGATGTTACCTGTCCACGCCTGCATTGTCGGTGTTAAATTTGATCAAAAACCTGATATATTTTTGTGTGTAATACATGTGTTTTTCTGTCCAATCATTGCTGGGTATGGCTTAGGGTATACATCTTTCAAAGAAAGTAATTGAGCTTAGTTTTTTTTTTCATATACATATAGGTACCATAGTCATTTACTTCAGTTCTTTATTTTTTTGAAGTATAATCATTTCTCGAACTTGGCCCCGTATACATCTATTAATGGTATCATATAACTAGGCGAGTACTTTTTAAGATATCTTCATGGTTAATAGAAAATATGTATCTCTGTAGGCTTCTAATAATCTGGAACTACACATAATATCTAATTCTAATATTTTTCTCTCAGTGTCTGATGGCCAGGGCGCCGCTAATAGTTGAGTTGAATACAAATATTATTCCCCTAAACAAACAATCATGTCACTCGAAATAAAGACAATCATTAGTAATGAGTGACGATCAAAACTCTTTCTCTTTTGAATATCTGCACGAGAGGAGAATGTGACCCTGCAATAGAGTTACAGGTATTGATGCCGCCACCATCAACTCATGTAGGTCATCTGAAGAACCATTGTTACGATTCAAATTTACAGATTCTATCTTATTAGAATGTGTTCACAGAACTCGGCTCCTTCGTTCCAACGAGAACTAAATTTTCGCAGCCCTGAAGTGTTTTCTCTCCTGTCCATTTCTCAGTATTTTAAAATTAGAACTAGTTTCTTACTCGTGTACTTCAATCTTTGGAACAAATATTGTTTTCCAGGATTTAGGATATTTCTTTTCCTCTTTTGTTCTTAGTATAAGATTTCGTGATGATATTTATCAAAAATTTCACGATGTAGGTGAGTCCTTAATGTGTGTTAACGTAAAAAACAAACTCATACAATAATATCATCTTAATGTTGTCTTCCTATCCCCCATTACTTTCATAATTGGCACTTCGCCACGCCCACCACCTCCACACGCTTTCAAGACACTTTTTGCCTAGATTTTTGTGAAACAAATTATTTTGAGGTTTGAAGATGGTATTGTGCCGGAAATTACGGTATTGACCCCTGTGGTATTACCAATCAATGCGATCTTCAAACCTTTACCTCAATAGTCGACAAGGCCTTTATGACTCCTGAGCTGCAGGCGATCATGGGCGATGGTAGTCACTTTTGATCAAGTGACCAGTTTTCTATTCCTTTATAATAAAAATAAATAAATAAAAACCCCTCGGGAAGAGTACTCTGTCCTTGCCTTAAAACATATTGATCGGTTGAGTATCGCGTGACAGCGTCAAACAAATAAGTTCACATTCTAATCTGTACATATAACAATACATGCCCTGAATAACTAACTGATTCATCAACGCAGAATCCAATTTCAGCAGCTGATGCTTTCTCGTGTTGTAAGCGCCCACTAAGATTTTTTTTGGCAATTTTACCTTTAAGGGGGTAACATAAGGGATGACCGGTTGTATGGAAGTTCGTCCTTTTCAAAGTTAGAAACACGAAATAAGAAAAAAGCCGCAGGTAATAGCTTGTTTATATTATGAGCCATTATTTGACTCCTTGCTAAATTACCGACATTAAGTACTTTAAACACACTAATAACGAAATTGAGTTTCAAGTTTCCGCTTTATCTCTTAATTGTAAAGTTATTAAGATAAGAGAACTGAGTGTCGACTGTGTTTATATATTTTACTACCTAATCTAATAGTACACAGTGCGATACCCACGGGATCGATAGGGGTGGTGACACTACGTATTCTTCATTCGTCACCACATGGGCAACATTAATAAAGTGCTGCCTACGAGTACTGTTACACTCTTTCATAACCGATATTTTTCTCATTCCAAAACATTACGCCAGATAATAAACGAATAACCTTCGATAGTCATTTCGTTTTGGCGCAACCAGTCGTTTCACAACCATTGGTATGTTTGAATGTCAGTTAGTTTTTGCTACTCAACCGATCTTCGTGCAATATTTTTGTTTAAAGTCTGAATTTTAAGTGACCAATAGAGCATATTATAACATAGTATATTCCTAATTGGAACCTGTAATTTTAAAAACATTGCAAGTCTGTGTCATCAACTTATGTTGTTAACAAAATACAAAAAAACTGGACGGAACGGAGATAAAGAAAATTTAAGTTTAGCTGTTCGCTGGTTTTGTACAAGGATTACCTAATATTTAATTGACTGGGTATCGATATTGTCATGTCATCAGGTGTCTGGAGATGCGAAGGCAGTCGAAGCTTTACTTGCTTTTTATCAATTTACACCTTAAAAAACCATGGCTTTTTTTATTCTCAATTTATACTACATCAATGTAATAACCAATTTAATTATCTACTTTTATATCAAGATTCAAGACACAGCATCAGATGAGCATAACTATACCAATTTATTGTGAAATGAATTCAGATTTTCGTTAGTAAACGTTAAAATGATGCGTCTTTTAGAAATAGTATAATTTGAAATAAGAAAGTGCACTTATATGTACTAATAACACGTCTTCAAAACAATTGTTTTGACCACGGACAACCCCTATTGTAAGCATGATTCGTCATGGCCTCTGCGACTTATTTCATGGCCGCTGTGTCCAAAAATATGTAATCAATTTGGCTGTTATAACTCTCCGTAAACGTAGAAAATACGTAAGTGATTTCAAGAAGGACTAAAACTAACATAAATCAGTCATTATGTATGTATACTAAAGTTAGTTTTCATCAGTAGTGTTATATAATGGCAGAATTTATTTCCATTTGCTTTCATTTCATTACTTATAGTACCACATGTAGTGTTGGGAGTATGTACATAGAGTTTGGCTTTTGTATTGTCCATTGTGATGTCCTTATTGTATGTTAGTTATTTGCTTGTAGATTTAGTATTTTTATTTGCCTTTTTTCTTTACCAATATAAATCGTTTCTCTTAAAGGTTCGTCATTTAAAACTATTAACCGGGTTTAAAAATCAATCGATAGGTTCTGAAATAACCGATTATTTTACTCGAATACAGTGAAATCACTAATGAGATTTTGGAGTAACGAAAATGATTGGTAAAAAAAATGCAGAATAAATGAAATATAGATCTATATATACGAGTTGTTTTTTAAATGAACTGTAATTTACTAGCTTCTGGATTATGCGATACCTACGAGTATTTCGATAAGATAATCTGTATAAGATAAATTTATAATGTTTCGGTAAAATACAGTTCTTTGAATCGTTACTTTGGTGTGACCAGCGAAATTGTGCTACACTCGTTGTAACGTTATGATCAAGATAAGATATGGCCTCGCTAAAGTTTCATAGTAACCTTTTTTAATCTTTCTTCAGAATACAACGTCCTGAATGACATTTGAAAGAAAGGAATACTATTCCTGACTTCTGATCCAAAGGTCATGGATTCGATTCTCACCCAGGACAAAAAATGTTTAATGGCACAATTATTTCATGTGTCTCTGAATGTAATGTAATAGTAAAATACATGTACTTATAAATATAAAAGTAGCACCACTGGGTGAAAAGTTAAAAAGTAATAGGTTGTCTGATATGCACATGTCATGCGCAGGGATGAGGCAAATCTGGTCAAAAAAGTGTTAGGTTTGGCAGTTGAAGGATACAAGAGAAGGGGAAGATCAAAGAAAAGATGGATGAACTGTGTGAGTGAGAATATAGCTAGGAAGGGAGTAACCAGTGAGATGACGAATGATAGAGTAGAATGGAAGATTCATATTTACTGTGCCGACTCCAAATAAAAATTGGGATAAGGGTAGGCAGATGATGATGACATATAAGTATGTTCATCCGTTATCCGTGTGTTGACGTATTAAGAATACGGAGTGTCACCACACCTATTCATCTCGTGTCGTTAGAGCCGACTAAGCGTGCAAACCACGCTGGACAGCAGCACTGCATAGACAAGGAAATGATGGTGATGAAGTATGTTCATCAACAGTGTGGTTCTGCCTAGCTTGGGTTCAGGCGGTGTGTGAGATGTAATAATAATAAAATAAAATTTTGGACATCGAACAAAACTCCATCTAGTTTCAAACTAAGCAGAGCTTGTATTATGAAAACTAGAATGACTGATAGAATACTTTTTTTTAAATACATATATTTATACATAGAAAACACCCAAACTTCGAAACAAATATTTGCAGATCATACAAATATTTGGTTCGACCCGGAATCGAACCCGAGACCTCAACACAGCAGTTGCATACGCTGCCACTGCACCACCGAGGCAGTCAAAGATGTCAGATATCTCAATTATTACTGTCTAAGGCTTGAATACATAGTAATCATATATTCTTTATCTATGACGAATCAATTTCGCTTGTTACGTCAAGGCTAAGCATGATCTTTCATATTTTATGTAACAATTCCTGCAATGTCGTCATCCATTCAATGACTTGTGAAAAACAGTTACTTTGGGAAAAGATGGCGTCACACGGATCTGTTTTATATGTAGTTTTAATGTTATTTGCTCGTTTTCAGCTATATTCTGCGACAGCTGGGACATGGCGATCTAGTTAAAAATGTAAGTAGATTTACCCTTTTTTTTTCCGTGCGGAAATCCCCTCGGATACCACCTGTCGGTGGCATGTCGGACTCGAATCGACTAAAACCGCACGCCGTCTCGGGTACTAATAGCCGGGGAACCAGGTATACCCTAGAAAGGAAGTCCCTGGTGCCCCGACATACCTCGGATCATCTACAGACGAGTAGACGACCCCCACCTCCCCCCCCCCCGAAGTAGATTTACCCTAGAATTTGTAAATAGTATCCATATCATTAGAGCATAAATATTTTCTAGAAATATCAACCTGGAGTATAACCAATTTAATTAAGGAACAAAGCTTGAAATCGGTGTACAAATGATCAGTCAAAAATCTGTTAAAAATGAGTTACGGGTTCAAGTGGGTGACTCACGTACACGTTATTTTTAATATAACCACACCCGTACACCGGTGTGGTTGTATTTTAGGGTCGTCGAGGTTGATAGGGATTTCATTTCTAGGAAACACCTAAGGTCCCCCGAAAATATTCGCATGAGAGCTACAAAACAACATACTCATTGAAATTGGTGGAAATAACTTAATACTATTATAAAGTAAGTTTGGATGGATGGTTGTTATGACTCAATCACACTGGAACGGCTAAACGGATCTGAATGAAGTTTTGTGCAAAGTTAGATTCTATAATAAGGAAATCATATGAGCAGGTAATAACGAGTCATGCAGTCGTGACTCCTGAGTAGAAGAAGTAAAATATCTTCAGGTGACCCGTCTTGTAGTTTAGCATTTATATAATAACAACTACCCACTGCATCATCTCTACTACATTAAAGCGGACAGAGCCGCTGGAAAAAGGTAGTTTACAATATATTGGTTAGAAATGGACCCCCACAACTATAAACTCCTTTCACAAAATTTTTCATAGTCCATTTTTAAGGTTATTCAACCAATGAACCAAATCGTTGTATAAAATTACAGTTCCGGAATTATTTTTTCAGATGCCCGAAAACCATGCTCTGTCGGGCTTGTGCGCCGGTATCATATCTGCCTATGACTTGTTCGGCGTGCCTTCAGCAGTGGTATTGTTCGTCGTAGAAGAGGTCTCGTACAACATTTGTGATCAGAGGTTCCATGAGTTTGAAATATCTGAGAAACGACCGGACATCATGGTGAGGTCCTAGACTATATTCTAATTTATTCAATCGCATGTAACCTATATACCTGTGTACCTTGACTGCACGGATGGCATAGTGGTTTAAGCAGTCGCCACGCCGCTTCCTACTGCGACGACACTTTGTGTGATCCAAAAATTGTTAGTCTGAGTTTGGGTGTTCTTTGTGTCCGTTTCATGTATGTTTGTAAAGTCCCCCGCGACACAGGATATGTTCCTAATGCGGGAGTTGTCTTTAAAAAAACAAACTGTTGTAGCATCATCTCATAGCGTATGCGAGCGATTCAATAAACTTTCATATGAGCCCCACTTTTCAGAATTTTGATATGCCTTTCTTCTGAACATGATCATTCATTTGATCCTGGTATGTTCTATTTGTTCGGCCTCTACCAGTCTAACCATTGACGTTTTCCTAATATACACGTTTTGTTATCATTCGTTCCGCAATCATTCTTTCCACATGGCCAAACCACACCATCAGTCATCTTGATGCGATGTTTAACATTAAAAGTAAACATATTTTTTACATATTGGATATGACGCTTAGTCGTGTTTAAAGCCACATAATGACTAAATGATAAGTTATTTAGTACGAGGTTTGTAGATTTTCGGCCACGCTCGCACTTGTCACTGATAACTTTGACACTACGACGACTTTATACAATTCACGTCTAATAGGCTCTTAGGGGGTAGTCAGAGATGTATCACTTACGTAATACGAGGCAAGCTTGTTACCGTCGACCGCACACTTTAGGACTTAATGAGAAAATTGGGAATATAACTCCGTTGACAATCTCGCGGAATTTACATCTTGTCTAAGTACTATTTGTTCAATAATAGAAATAGAGGAAAACAAGGGAGTTGAGGCTTTCTATATCTTGGGAGACTATAATGCACACCCGAGTGAGTTGTTTTATAATGAAATGATGAATTTCTGTGTGGATCAAAGATGGACTTGTATAGATATAAACATGTGTGACAGTAGTACATACACCTTTATGAGTGAGTCGCATGGCTGTAGCAGATGGTTGGACCACTGCATTGTCACTGAGTCTGCACTACAATCAATCGTTAATGTAAAGGTACAATATGACATGTATTGGTCCGACCATTTTCCGATTGTGGTAGAATGTGACCTACGTAAGCTCAAGCCAAAATGTATAAATAAACCAAATGAAAGATGTGTAAATCGTGTTATCTGGGGTGAGCGATCCTCAGAGCAAATAAGCGAGTACCATGATCTCTGTCACTCTAGACTTGGACAGATGGATATTCCTGGGGTACTGAGTGCTTGTTGTGACAGGTTTTGTGATAACAGGGAACATCGCTCAGTTCTTGATGAAATGTATCTGGAGATTGTAGACACCCTAAGCCGTGCCGCCGTACAAACATGTAAAGCCAAGTGTCGGAAAAAAGGTGGTTACGTGACTGGGTGGAATAAGCATGTCGCGGATGCTCACCGCGAGGCACGGCTTCAGTTCCGAGTTTGGACAATGGCAGGTCGTCCGGCCACTGGCCCTCTATTTTGTAAAATGGCGGAGGCAAGGCGAGTTTTTAAGGCCAAGCTTAAATGGTGTCAGAACAGACAAGATCAGCTCAAAATGGATCTTCTTGCCTCAATCCATACCACTAAGGATTTTAAGCAGTTTTGGAAAAAAACAAACAATATGAATGTGAGGCCGAGTCTCCCGGTGAGCGTCGGTGGTATGACTGATCACAAGCATATTGCTGATGCCTTTAGGACACACTTCTCTGTGCGGTCGCCTTTGAACTCGGGGTCGTATGATAGGGAATATGCTGGGGCTAGTGTGACCGGGCGGATTACTAAAGTACCAGCTAAGACAGTCGCTAAAATTGTTTCCGGAATGCAACATGGAAAATCGCCGGGTCACGATGGCCTCAGCATAGAACATTTTAAGCATGCAGGGATGCACCTGCCTAAAGTACTCTCTCTGTTTTTTACCCTATGCCTCGGTCACTCTTATTTACCCGAACCGCTTATGCGGACCACTGTGATACCTGTTGTTAAAACCAAAACGGGTGACACGTCCGATGTAAATAACTATCGACCCATCTCGCTTGCCACCACCGCGGCTAAGGTGCTTGACGGTGTGTTGAACGGCTGCCTTTCAGATCACGTTGAAGTACACGATGCCCAGTTCGGGTTCAGGGGCGGCTTGTCCACGGAGAGTGCCATACTTAGCCTAAAACACACAGTCAAGTACTATACATCGCGGAGGACGCCGGTCTACGCGTGTTTTCTCGACTTGTCAAAAGCTTTCGATCTTGTTGCCTATGATGTACTGTGGGACAAGTTGGGAGACACGAGTGTTCCGACCGAGTACACAGCGCTCCTCAAATACTGGTATGCTCACCAGACAAACCGGGTGAGATGGGTCGGTACTCTGTCGGATGAGTACAGAATGGAGTGTGGTGTGAGGCAGGGGGGGTTAAGCTCACCTCTATTGTTTAATTTATATATGAACCAGCTTATCGAGCGACTGAGCAGCACACATGTAGGCTGTCACATAGACGGCACATGTGTCAATAATTTAAGTTACGCGGACGACATGGTGCTGCTCAGTCCTTCGATAGGTGGACTGAGAGAGCTACTATCGATCTGCGAGACGTATGCGGAGATGCACGGCCTTAAATACAACTCTAAAAAGAGCGAGATTTTAATATTCAAAACGCAAAAACAACAGTCACGCCGTGTAGCTCCGGTATATCTCAATGGCGTAGTGCTAAAAGTTGTTGAGAAGGTCAGGTATTTAGGCCATATTGTCACCAGTGACCTTCGCGATGACAGCGACATAGAGCGGGAGCGCAGGGCGTTGGCGGTGAGGGGCAATATGCTCGCCCGTAGGTTTGCTCGCTGCACGGCAGACGTTAAAGTGACTTTATTTAAAGCGTTCTGTCAGTCCTTCTATTCGAGCGGCCTGTGGGTGTCATATACAGAACGGGCCTACAACGTCCTGCGCGTACAGTATAACAACGTCTTCAGGATGCTGTTGCGGCTGCCGCGGCATTGTAGTGCATCGGGCATGTTTGCCGAAACACGCACCGACGGGTTTCATGCTCTCATGCGTAAAAAATCGGCTTCCATGCTAAAGCGCTTGCGAAATACCCGGAACAGCGTCCTGAAGATGATTGCTAGTAGGCCAGACTGTCCTATACAAAGGCATTGGGTGGCAATAGCAATAGGAAAGCTTAGTTGAATGCCTTTCTACTATTAAGTGCCGTTACTAACAATACTAATATAGACGTTAAGTACTTTCTGTTTCTAACCCATTACTAAACAACCTATGGACTGTATATGTCTGAAATAAAATTATTATTATTATATAATGATAGGATAGCATTAACATCCCTTATCAGAGATATTATATAGGATAGCGTAACACGGAACTGGCTGTTACAGAAAGCCCGAGCCCTATCTAAGCGCTTAAAATCTCTGTTACGTAAACGTAGCGTAGCGTCTTATAAACCAAGCAAAATCGCTCCTGGTGTTATTTGTTGCCGTCATTTTTTTTTTCTTTCTAAAGACAACTATACAAAATAAATCCTGTGTTGGGGGGGACATTACAAACATACAAGAAACGGACACAAAGAACACCCAGACTCAGAACAACAATATTTGGATCACACAAAGTGTTGTTCCATGCACGATCGAACCCACAACACCCTTAACAACGCCATTCGTGCAGCCATATTCTGTGCCGCCATAGCCGTATCCAGTGACCTACATTATATTGTTTCATGTTCACAGATCCACAGAATGACACTGAACGAGATTTATGAAGAAACTCAGCTCAATGACAAAAAACAATTGATGATGTAAGTATTTCTAGAATATTCTTTATGGCAATGGGGGTGAAAAAGCAGACAGATTACCGGTAATTGACTACTGCTGCTCATGAACACACGCAATGACAGAGTCGCGAGAGCGTTGTTGGCTTTGAGTGCCTTTTCCTCAGAATTGGAGGAGAGTAGAGAGAGGCTTTGTATTCTTCCTCTATCTAGTAGAATACAACCGTTTTATCACTTTATTGGACCTAGATCCTTATAAGTTGACGGCCGCATGCGCAGTGGTTTGTGTAACGTACTGCTAAGCCAAAGGTCGCTGGTTTGAGTCCCGCTGAAGTCAAACATTGGTGTGCATAAACCTTTCAGTTTTATTTTATCTCGGTGTTTCTATATATCTTTGTATAAAATTCTCGTGTCACAATGTTCGTTCCCGAACTCCTCCGAAACGGCTTGACCGATTATTATAAAATTTTGTGTGCACATCGGGTAGGTCTGAGAATCGGCCAACATCTATTTTTCATACCCCTATACATTATTTAAAAAAAAAAATAGGGGTGGGTCACCCCTAAATTTTTTTTAAAATAATGTATAGGGCAAAACAACGTGTGCCGGGTCAGCTAGTAATATGTATGTATTCACATCAAAAGTATAAATGTATTTATATCAGTTGTCTAGTACCCACAGTACAAGCTCTGCTTAGTTTAGGACTAGATGGCGTTGTATGAATATGGTAGAATATTATTATTATAAAAAAAGTTTATGTAAGGTAATAAAAAAAGAAAAATACAATCAAATTGAGAATCTTATTTTATTTTTAATTAAAAAAAGTATATGACATAGTTTTCTCATGACCTAGAATATTACAACTATTTACAGCGAAGGCTCCCCGGTGGCAGTTGTCTACTACCGTTCTGGCTACGAGCCAGCGCAGTACCCTTCTTCTAAAGAGTGGGAGGCGAGACTCCGAGTTGAAAGATCTACGTAAGTGTCACCTGTATACTCTATTTGGGCTGTGTATATCTGTTGCTTATTCTTGAACATCTTTAATTCACACACCACCTCTGGTTTGCAAGAATAGCGAGTAATCTAGAAATGATTCGTTTTAGAATATAATATCGGATTTGAGATTTATGTTCGAGTAATTTCTCTGACAATAAGTTACCATAGTATGGGTTCTGCCTAATTTAGGACGGATTTCAAGTTATATAATTATTATAATTTTTTTGCATGTAACCCTTTGTGCGTCATAATTAATAATGATTTTCAAACGTATTACAGAGCAATAAAATGTCCGTCGATCCACTACCAACTGGCCGGCACGAAGAAGGTGCAGCAAGCGTTGGCGGCGCCGGGCGTACTCGAGAAGTTCATGGGAGACTCCGCAGCCACCAACCGAGTGAGGGACATCTTCACCGGACTGTACTCATTGGACTTCGACGAGAGTGGCGAGAGGGCCGTCGAAATGGCACTCGCTGATGCCGAAAAGTATGAACTTTATTTTAGACTGTTAGAATTTTCACTCTTACAGAAAAGTGTTTTTTTTTTTAATGAGATTTTTTTGATAAAGTAGGTAAATCAGTTCATAGCCTTTTAATAACCTGCTTAGATAATATAATGGGTTCTGCGTTAAGATAAAAATTAATAAGGAATATGTTAATTTATACATTGTATCAATACCTAATATCAATGATTATTTATTAACGATGTAACTATTAAAAGAAAAATGATTTTCGCTAATAATACTACGCCGTCTAGCAAAATGTTAGTAATGTGTGATTTGCATACAGGTTCGTGCTGAAGCCTCAGCGAGAGGGCGGAGGTAACAACATGTACGGGGCAGAGGTGCGCGAGGCGCTCCTGCGCATGCGCCACAGCCGCGAGCGAGCCGCCTACATACTCATGGAGAGGATACTGCCGCCCTTGGTATGTGTTGACACTTGTGAGGAAATTGCTACTTTTAAATAATAATCATATGATGAAATGTTTGGCTTTAGTCAATGCGATTTAACCTTAGATAAATCACTACTGTGATTTGGTCATAGACAAAGATAAATGCCACCTTTGTTCTTTACTTTCTTTTAGATTTGCAAATGAATCACTGGTGTGATTAATTGCTTTATAAATCATGTTAATTATCATAGTTGATTATGATTTCATTCCATCTCTGAATGGACAACATGTATAAGTCTAGAGAATATCTCTATTGTGTTATTGAAGTACCAAATAGATGGGGCACTTATGACTGCACGGATGGCGTAGTGGTTTAAGCGGTCGCCACTCCACCTACTACTACGCTGAGTGTCGCCACATAGGATAACACTTTGTGTGAGCCACGAATTGTTGTTCTGAATCTGGGTATTCTTTGTGTCAGTTTCATGTATGTTTGTAAAGTCCCCCGAGACAGGATATATTTCTAGTGCGGGAGTTGTCTTTACAATATGTGATATTCCTCACAGTATTTTTGATGTGAGTCATCTTTCGATGATCCGACTCAAAAATCAACTAACACATTTAATTAATTTTCTTCTCAGTGTATTATAGATTAAATTATTTTATTTTTCCAGGTGCCTGGATACGTCATACGTCCAGGTGGTCCGTTACCACCCCCAGTCGTCGACATTGTGTCAGAGCTTGGCATATATGGCGTCATCATCGGGTAACACATTATTTATATTTTTTATACTTTATCTGACCAAAAAATATATATTTTCTTCATAATCATCTTCATCATCCTATCGCAGACATAGGCCTCTCCCATAATGGTTGCATTATATCTAAGTGTTTAATAGACTTTAAAGATAAGAATACAAATTGAAGGCTATCAAATTATTTTAAATATCTCTTTGTACGTCCTACATTTTTTTAATTAAACTAGATAAATCCCATGGGACGTGTGAAATATATTTATTAACGCAATCTATCTCGTCCGTAAATTGTACATAAATACCTACGTAATTTTATATAAAAAAGGAATTGATCTCGGTACTGGGTACATCTAAATATTTTTCCCCAGAACGAAAGAGAAGGTGTACCAAAACTGCCAGGTGGGCCACGTGCTCCGCTCCAAGCTCGCCGACGCCAACGAGGGGGGCGTGGCCGCTGGCCTCGGCGCGCTCGACTCGCCCTACCTCGTCACCATGTAGCACCTCACCCCCCCCCCCGCACCTCCCCTCCGACCGTACTCTACGAGTGACTTATCAGAACTAGAACGATCTTGCTGATTCTGTTCTAATATTGCATTTAATACTATTTCGTATCACAACTGTAGAAAAAAAAACACTTCTATAATCGTCGTCTATAAAATCTCACTTTGCAGGGATATTTAAAGGCATTGCAGAAACCATAATGAATATTATTATGAATCATACCATAAATGTATTTAAATATATATATATATATATATATACAAATTATGAAACATAAATTATATAATAATGGCCATAATAAAAGTGTAACGTCCTTCGATCAAAAAGCTAATAGTTTACAGTTCGTATGAGTTACCATCAGTTTTTATGAATACTATTCACAAAATAAGTAAAATAAATCTTAAACTTTATCTATTAATAAAAGTTGCCTTTTTATAACTTAAAGTTAGTCATCAAAGTTAACTTCAAACGAAGCGTTCACATTTAAATTTTGAACTTACTATATGCCTTATCTATTCTTACGAAATACAATAGACAATTTAAGATAAATGCTAAGAAGATGTCTTTGTGATATTAAACATTTAATTTGCAATAACAGATTAGCACTAAAATATAGATAGTCGCTTGGAAGGATTACGAAACGTCACAATTACAAAAAGCTTTTATACACCGATGGATTCGATTTTGAATTAATAAACAATATTCGCATTGTTCTTGTTTATAGTCATATTAAAATTGTATAATATATTACAAAACGCACAAAAGTAAAAGAAATTCATGCAGGAAAGTAATAAAAAAAGTAAAATTTTAATTATACATTTAAAAATAGTTCTGAATTTTGTAACGTAAAATTTATTTTGTATAATTTATGTTGTTAGACTTTTTGGGAACAGGGATGTAGTATTTATAGAGTAGTAATAATAGGTAAAAGTAACACTATGACGTAATTACTAACCCCCTAATATTAAACTCGTAGTGATATAATGATGTTTTTTGTTTTTATATTTAATAATTGTAAATATTTTAACCTAAAATGTTATTAACCAAAAAAAATTGTAATAGATAAAAAATATGTTACGATATTCTTTACATTCCTTATAGCTTATTTTTTGACACTAATAACGGGTTAATGCTCCTCAACCCACCCCTCGGGGATACAGGCGTGACATTTGAAACACGAGTTAAAATATTCGAAGGTAAATAAAAATGAGAACACTGTGTCATGAATGATTCATGTATTAAATATATATTTTCTTCGATATACTTTAAAACAAAATTAACTTATTTTTTTTAAATTACAGATGTTTTCATATTTTTTAAAAGATGTAATAAAAAAAATTCATTTAAAATTATGAAGAAACAGAATACTGAGTGATAATTTTACGTCGCTCCTAGATTTTATACAATTATATTTTACATATAGACTGAATAATGTTGTTGTGTAACAAACTTTACGGACTTAAAATTTGCTAACTTTGGCGAAACTGCGACTTCACCTTCGTCAAAAAGAGCATGGCGGCCGAGTAAAATATTAAGTATATTTGCATATTGAGTATATATACTGTTGTAGAGTACCCTAAAGTTTATTACACTTTGCTACACATGGTCATGGTGCTGTGCATGATGCAACTAGAGTATAATAAATAACTTTGAAAAAAATATAACAATTTGACTTTATTTATTGTTTTTTTTTGTGATCTTTTTGGGCGCAGTGTAGTTTATTCAATTGCAATATCAGGTCGAAGGTTCGATTTCCGCTCACTTTATAAATACATATTTATTTAATACCTACTGCCTGCAAATACACATTGCTTAAAGCGGACTTAATGCCATAAGCATTTTCTTCCAGTCGACTTTTGGGTGATACAGAGCTGTGTGTGGCAGGTGTATGTATAATTGAAGCTAATGAGATAAATTACTAATTAATATCTACTACAAAATTACACCCATACATAAACTAAAGAATTTTACCTAATTAATACATACATAACTAGCTGTACCCTACCACGCTGCACACTATGGTTGCACAATATGGATAAAAACCATCTTTGAAGCGTGACGTATGTCGTGTCAAAGTTTGAGCTTTAAATATAATCTTACGTAAACACGTTGAATACTTTTAATAAAAGAAGAAAATACAAAAGTACGTGATGTGAAATTATGTAGATTGGAGTTGTCGAAAAGGTACCATTATTATTTAGTATATAACACGGTGAATAAAATGTTGCATAATTTATACCCTTGTGTATTACGTGAATGTAAAAATAAAGTAACGCAGTGGTTACTTGGCCTAAATGATAACGATACCGAACTTCTAACACGAACTCAAAGTAAATCGATCAATCATTAATTGCTGGGTGGTGGTAACACATGCCCAAAGTCATACACACACGCATGCACAAATGAATACGCACTTTCAAACATCCCACACATGCACAGACGAACACACACGCACACCTACACAAACATTCGTACGTATTCTGACACGAACCATCTTATAACATTTTTAAAAATGATTATTTTAAGTGATATGTTTTACGAGTATATAATATTCATCAAGCAAGCAAACTTGAAACCTGGTGTTTATCTTTCAGAGGTTGGGGTTAATGGCTGCCACACAGTTATGAAACTATAGCAGTCATTATCAACGATATTCTACTGTGTTACAAATAATAATAACTTTTTATTTTCTTTATTATTCACATGCTCTCGAGCATTTGGCCCTCTGTTCTCCTTTTTAGTTTAGTAGTTTCTCTACTCCATAAGTCTTATTAGATGATAGGTTAAATAAATAACAATACCAATGTAATATTAATTTCAATTTCAAATAAATTTAATTAAATAATATTAACAATCTACATAATTCAAAAACTCTTTACAGATATTCTGTGTACTTGGTCATCTTGGTCTTTAAGATGACTCCACCTTCGTTGTACCCATCCATATAGCGGAACTTAGGGTGATTATCTATGATCTGAAAAATAACGCAATATTAATCTATAAGAATACAGTACACTATAAACTTTAAAATACATAGGTAGGTAGTAGTCGTCACTAAACTTGATATATTTTTATTGCATGAAGGGTGTCTAAATGGCAGACCTGCCGATGTCCTCGAGCAAAACGGAAATTGTTATTTTGAAATCTAATCTATATTATATAAAAAATAATTTCTGTTCGTTAGTCTTACTAAAACTCGGGCGACTGACGATTGACGATTTGGCTAGTTTTGTTCTTGAAATATTGAAGCCCAGGGAAAGTTTAAACGATGAGAAAATATTTAAAAATAAAGGTCAAGTGCGAGTCGAACTCGTTACCTACCATATAATATTTACATCATTTTCTTACACACAATTTTATTTATTTACCTTATTTGAGGTTGGTGCCAATTAAGCTAGTCCTCTAAATTGTATGAGCGCCCATACGACTCAGAGGACTTCTCTTAATTGGCGTCCACTATGTATGTTTGTATGGGGATAACCTTTAATTTTTCGAAGTTTTCCCTTTACTTGTGCTGTTTGACAATTCTAGGTCAACCGGAAGTACCCTATAGGTTTTGGTTCATAAACCTATATGGTAGTTCCCGTTGACCTCAAATCACGAAATTTGGCAGTAAGCAAGGTAAAGGGAAAATTCCAAAAAATTAAAAATTTGAAAATTACCTACTTGACCTTTATTTTTAAATATTTTCGCACCGTTTAAAAAATAAAAAGTTGAAAATTAAGGTTAATTTTGGTACTTACAAGTTTTCGCGAAAATCTAAATTTGCCCATATCTTTTATCCTGTTAACTCAGGACCTTGATTTTTATACACCTAATAGGGACTATAGACCTCAGTATTTGGTATAAATTTCAACTTGCTAGGTCCACCCGTTCCTGAGAAAATAGGTGGTGACACACGGACAGACGGACGGACAAGAGAGATCTTATAAGGGTTCCTTTTTTACCTTTTGAGGTACGGAACCCTAAAAATGAGAGGAAAATAGGAAAAATGTGCACCAACGAAAAATGTTGCACAAACGGGGAAAATGTATTCATTTTGAGAGACGAAGTGCCGCGGGTCAGCTAGTGATAAATCAAATAAAAAGACAACACCAACAAAAACATATCCTGTGTCGCAGAGGACTACAGAAATACATGAAACACCCAGACTCGGAACGACAATGTGTGGAACACACACACGTGTGAGGATCGAACCTACACACGAAGCGATGAGGTGTTCGCTTAAACCACTACGTCACCCGTGCAGTCAAATATAAAATAGTTAGAGGGCTCGGACTTCCGGCAACAGCCATTTCGAGTTACAGGTATAAGGACCTTATACCTTACCTTGTCCTTCCATTAGGTCCTTCCCTTTCATTGTACCTACTCCTAGTTTTCCTATTCCCGTATAATCTAAAGTGCCCGTTCGACGCCAATAGGTGCCCATATTACGTAAATGCAAATAAAATTATACTTGATAAAATGCGGGCGTGTAATACGCGTCTGTTTTTGGATACATGAGTCAATATATTGTGTATGATAGACATGGAAATTACTGCTGCTTTTAAATCATATTCATTTGATGAAATGATTGGTATTTGTCACAGCGATTTCACATGTGATTGTGATTTCGTCATAGAATAAGATAAATGCACTTAAAACTAATCAAAATTCTTTTTATGAAAAATTACAACCTTTTTTTCTGTTAGATTTAGACCTTACGCGAGTCACAGGTGTGATTATATGATTTATTACATGTGTTTGTAATTTTATTCCATCCCTAGTGTATGATATGTGTGTGTGTGTGTGTGTGTGTGTGTGTGTGTGTGTGTGTGTGTGTGTGTGTGTGTGTGTGTGTGTGTGTGTGTGTGTGTGTGTGTGTGTGTGTGTGTGTGTGTGTGTGTGTGTGTGTGTATGCACTGAACAGAGGGCGGCTATCACAAATATAAGTAATCGAGTACCTTCATCCGTTCATAGTCATCATCAGCGCTGGTGATAAGCTCTGGCACGTCAAGTCTGGGAATCGCAAACAAATTCATGAGCAAATGCTTCTGGTTAGTATAAAGCATGCGCTTGTCGGCCCATTCTAGTTCGCGGGGCAGTCTCCAGTCTTTCATCTTGGGTTCTTCACGCTCTGTGTATTGATCGAAATTCAGACGCTCAATGTCTTCAACGACCTGTAAATAAATTATGTACGTACAAGTGGGTAAAATAATCCAGAACTCATAGTAAAAGCTTTGCTTAATTTGAGTCTAAATAACATTGTGTACTATGTTCTAAAATATTTCAATTAAAATATAATATATTATATAATGTTCTGAGTGCTTAGTGCCTATTTATTTCGCATCAATTCTGTCTCAACCGCGGCGACTACATTTGGCGTTCCGATTGAGGAAGTTTTCGAGGAGGATCGAATTGATGCACAATATACTCGCCCTAGGCGCCTTGATGTTGCTGGGGTTTAAAGCTCGGCATCACTTAATCGCAACTCCGACGACACGGAATAGCAGATTTCAAGTACGTACGTGAATGATCTAGTCATTCTTTTTTCAAAAAAAATTAATCTACAGACTCCTTCGCAGTGAACTATAATTACAGGCATTTGCACATAAAAAATAAAGCACTAATAAAAATTCTTTCATTTCATAAACAATGATGCTTGGTCCGTGTGGTGACGGATTAAGAATTCAGAGTGTCACCACCCTTTGAATCCCGTGAGTGTCGTAAGAGCCGACTAAGGGAAAAAACTATGCAGAACGACAGCACTGCAGAGAGAAGGAAAACTTGGCACAAACCCTATACCAACCCGTCTGGCCAGCGCCTCCTTTCTAAGGAGAGGCTTATGTCCAGCAGTGGACTATTAAAGGCTGTTGATCTGATGCTTGGTCTTGACACAGTGTACAACTTTGAAGTACCTAACTCGACTGAAGTTACGCGAGCCGTATTAACTTGACAAATAAATTATTTCCATTAACTGTAAAACATATTCAGTTTCTTTAGTGGGCAGACTCGCTCATTAAAAGAAAACAGCTTTGTTTGTCAAAACGAGCCCTTAACATTAACATCAATCAGGGCGACCACCATTGCGTGATGTCGTAGAATCAGTATTGACAATGTAGTTTGGCTTATAGCCACTAGATGGCGCGGCAGTCTGTTTTGCTGTGTGTTTAATTAATCTACTTCTACCATTTATTACTTACTACTTCCACTTCACCACCACCACTCCAGTCATACACAAGCAATTCAGCATGAGTAGCTATATCACGCAGGTACTTGTTCTTATACTGGCGTTCCATCTCCGTCAAGAATGGTGTAGTAAGTGCGCGCATTGGAGCTTCATGCTTTAAATTTCTGTCCTTAATTGCGTCCTGGACCTGCAAGATGGAGATTGTTTAATGTACATATTGTAGGACCTACATCAATGTCTCCAACAAGTTTTAGTAATAGATCTCTCTCTCTCTCTCTCTTTAGTAATAGATAGTTGAAACTAAACCCTATACCTCTAGTTGTAAGTGTAGCAAGCAGTCTTCATAACCAGACTGCTATATTATACTGCTATGCTATATTACAGATAAATTACACCCAGACACATAACAAATGACCACCACCCAAAATTTGTCCTGGGTGGGAATTGAACCCACAATTAATCCTCATTTGGATTAAAGTGACCTAATGCTATGTGGTAATAGATGCATGTTTTCCATGTGGAGATGGATTAAGAATATGGAGTGTCACCACCCCTTTGGATCCCGAGGGTAAGTGTAATTTAAGTGTAAGGTAAACAAACCCTATACCAATGCATCTGGCCAGTGTGGTAGGCCAAAACCTCCTTTCTAAGGCTCTCCTAAGGCCTATGCCTATGCCCAGCAGTGGATTGTTGAAGGCTGTTGATGATAACGATGAACTCTAGGTGGTCTCACCTAACTAACAAAACCCATACATTACAAGCAGTTTTTAAAAGCTGATGTTAACCAAATGGTTTTTTGTTAATAAATAGAATGTCTCATATACTGCAGACGTTTGTTTAGGCAAACGAGCAGACGGGTCACCTGATGGAAAACGACTACCGCCGGCCATGAACGCCTGCAACTCAGGGGTCACAAGCGCATTGCCAGCCATATGTACACATACACGTCATTGGTTACATTTTATTTTCCAAATTGTTTCTCATTTGACACATGTGTTCTTTTACTTCTTTAAACTTTCCTACTACCTAGTGTCAAATATTGGATAATTGTAGCTGATAGAACTCAGTAGATATATAAATTGTGTAAATATAAATGTATTGTTTCACAAGACAGCTGATGAACATCAAAGCGATTTTCTAATGCTACTAAGGAGTAATTAAGTTTAAGTTATTGCTTGTAAAAGTGTGTTAATAAATACAGTGCTAATTTTGGTAATTAACCGCCGACTTTTACCAGTCGAATTCCCGGCTCGTAACAATAGTATCTCAAGACCAATTTTGTCTTAATTCCCTTGAACCCTTTGAAAGGAATGTGTCATATTTCCTGTCAATCTGTATGTTTTATATATCTCATGTTTAGCTTGATTACCTGCATGCTACACAGCTTTTATTAGTTAAAGGCTTGTAATTTTGCCCAGCTTAAAAACTATACTAGTCATTGCCATACATTTGTACAATGGTTTATCACGGAGTATATTAGATAATCCATGTGAGATTACTCAGTTATATGGATTTAGAGGAGCCAGCCATTTAAATCTATTATAGACACTGGCATAAGGCATTTAAAAGTAAATTTATATTCATTCCTATTTTATATCCTATTTTATATGACACTTTCATGTATGCTCAGATCAAATAAAAAAGTTAAGATAGTACTCTGTGAACAAAGAAGTGAGGCCAATTAAAACTACGCCTTGGGCTTGTACATTCACTATTACACGCACACACATACAACGAAGCTGCACCTTGTCCATCACAAAATCATCAAAAATGTCAACAATATTTAGGTACTAGTAAAAATGATAGGAAAAAAGTTATAGGCTGTTGATGATGATGATGATGAAAAATGATGGGCCCGCATCGTGACGGATTAAGAATAGAGTGTCACCACCAGACTATTCCTCCCGTGGGTGTCGTAAGAGCCGACTCAGGGAAAATACTACTCAGAACAACAGCACTGCAGAGAGAAGGAAAACTTGACACAAACCCTATACCAACCCTACGAGGTATAGTAGGCCAAAACCTCCTTTCTAAGGAAAGGCTTATGTCCAGCAGTTGACTGTTAAAGGCTGCTGTTGATGATGATGATAAAAAATGACAAATTATATTGTGAAAGAGTGTAAAAACCAAACTACAAGAAATAGCTAGTACGATGGAATCGCATATCACACATAAGTAAGGATAGAAAGCAATATGGCCCATGCACACATGTTTATAAAATCGGCCCCACTTCATTCTTAGCAAAGTTCCATCCTACCTTTTTTATTTGACCTGAACATGGATGTAAAATAAATATTTAAAACTGGAATCTTTAATAACATTTTTTTTTAACTCCATGGCTTACCTTTTGAAGAGGCATATCCAGATAGATGACTAAGTGTGGGCGCATCAGTTCTTCAATGGTATTCCCTCGCAACTGATAATACACACTGCGGACTCCTTGGCTAATATACTTTTGAGAGTACATAGCCTCTAGGAATACAAAGTCAGAGTATGGAGACCTCTCAAGCACTACACCTTGACCAGTATTTAACAAATGAGTCAGAGCATCAATGTACTGACTGAATCTAGCTATGTACATCATGATCTGGAAGTTGCCAGCTAGACGATGCTTAGGAGTCAAATTAAAGTTAATGTGATCAAATGTGCGGGTATCTTCAGGAACTTGTTCGTCGAACATGCGTAGGTCGCAGCCATTGGGTCGTATGTAGTGAATGTCCATGTTAGCTTCGGGGAAATGCTTCATTCCTAAATCTTCGGCTAGGGCTGCCGCAAATTGGGTCTTACCGACAGCCACCGGACCTTCGACAACGACAACTTTCGAGTTATCATCGAATCTGTGTGTGGTGCGGTCAATTAAGCTCCGAAAATAAGAATAGTCTTTATTTACGTAGTCAAAGGGCGCTGGTTTACGTGGAGGTGGTGGTAATGATTCTCTTAGAACTTTACCAGAAATACCGCGGTGTTGTACAAAAGCGCAGGCTGCTATCTTACAACCCTGGTTCGGGCTTAGAACTTTGACAACAGCAGTTTTAACTAAAGTAGCCATGGTGGCTTGAGGTATCTTCTTATTTTTGATGCCTGACAAATGAGTATTTTTATTAGTGATCTGACTATATAATATTATTTTCAGAAGTTGTATTTTACAGATCCCTTACCTCAAATCAATTCATAATAACAAAAATTCTTCTTCTGAACTTGTGACATAACCATTCCCGAAAGGTGCGTTCGGTTTTGTTTTGTGTTTTCATTAATTAAAATGTTATTTTTTGTTTTTGGATATTGTATCAAAAAAAAAACATATTTTTTGTAGAATTATAATGTTTAATCAATGATTGTAATAAAAACGATAAATGTATAATAAATATTTTAAATCACAACTGGTTTTGTTATGTTTTGAACGCACACGTGTAGTGTAGACAGTGCCGACAGTTCCATTTCTCGTGTCTTGGATTTTACTTACTCGCTATATCTATTTTTATTTACCTGACCATATGCCACTAAACAATAAAAGTAAAGTGAAAATAAATAATATTTCCTGCTCATAGCTTCCATATTAAATATGAGTATGAACTACCTATAAAAAATCATTGCAAATATTAGGTACGTAATTAAAATTTGAAGATATCAAAACTGATACTTGAGTTTGACTGGCACAACCAGGCAAGCAGGGTTCCCAACTAAGAGGTTCCCCCCAAATTAAGGAGGTAAATACGTGGAATGGGGTTTTTAGGGGGTTTAAATGTTTAGCCTTTTCTAATAACAAGTGTATGTGAACATGTTACGTTAAGTGTGTGATGAACGGGTGTCATGTCCCTTCAACACAAAGGGAAGATCCTCCGACCAGGCGAGGTGATCATGCCTGGCGGGGCCTAACAATAACCGTTTTGGGCCTGCGCCCAAAACATTTATTGTTGGGCATTTTTATATATGCTCATCGGCTAGATAATTGTTAATATCGCGATACAGGACTAGCAGTTACTCCGTAGTTCGATACCTCTTCGTTAGATGGCGCAGCAGTATGTTTCTTCGCTGCGCCGCGCCGTGCCTTATGTGCCGCAGTTTAGCCAATTATATTTATTTGATGACCCAGCGACACCCAATGACACCTAGAGCTATTCCTCGTTGCTAAGAATGCGGAGTGATTAAAAATACAACATGATAAACATAATTTTTTTTTCTTTATTTTTATCTAATTTTGCATATCTTTTTGATATACTATGTCTATAATATGTCTTTGATTTTTTTTTTATATTTGGTGCGTGTCGACTTCGACTTAGACGTCAATTTAGAGGTAAAACAGCCCGATATTTTAAGTCTATTTTAGGGTTTTTTGTTTTTAGCTTTAAGGGTATTTTTAAGAGTTGGTAACACTGCAGGCAGGTACTTATTTTCTTTTTAAGCTGTGCTCTCGCTGAAGAGACATGTGTGAATTTATTTTGTAACCAAAAAGTTATTATTGTGTGTTAAGTGATTATAGTACTGTGGAAGATAAAACAAAACTAACAATGGACACGGAAAACATTAATATTGATGATTTTCTACCACCCAAAAAGACGGTTAAGCTAAAAAATATAAAAAGAAGGGCAGTCTCGGAATCTGGTGATGGGATGGAAATCGAGGAGCACAATGGCATCCAAGGAAAAGCCAAACATAGTCGTCCAAGGTCGAAAAGAACAAAAAAAAACACAGAACCAAATGAAAGTAAAGAAAACTTAAGGAAAATAGCAGTACCTGCTCACAGGTATTATTGTTTGACTATTATAGTAAATAGACTAGTAAATAGTAAAGAGACAACTAAACTTCAATGTGGCTTCAAATACTGTTATTAAAATTGATATACAATTTCTTAATTATTTGCTAAAAGCCTACATATAACCAACTTTAACCAAAAGAGAAAAACTGAATTCAGTTTTTCACTTTTTTTTATTTGTAGAAAAATATAATAAATACAGTTGATTATAAGTCAGACTTTTTTAAAAAAGTTATTTCTGATTACAGATATACACCACTCAAAGAAAATTGGATGAAGATTTTTACACCAATTGTGGAACATTTACTCCTACAAGTTAGGTTTAACACAAAAACACGCAATGTCGAGATCAAAATTGGTCCAGAAACTAAAGATGTAGCTAATCTCCAAAAAGGTGCAGATTTTGTCAAGGTATGTTTATATTGAATTAAGTTTTTTTATGGTCATCATCCAGCTCAAGAGCACATACTTGATGGCTTAACCAACAAAATATCATTGCTTTGTATGCGGTGGAAGTGGGTGCAAGGGGTATACCAGCTAAATCCCTTCATAAAGACCTGCTGCTTAAAGACCTTGGATAACCAAGAGCTTGAGTAAGCTCTTGAATGAAAATCCAAAGCGGTGTTGTTAGGTTCATATCAAATATAGTTAGGTAGAGGGGGTAAAACAGCAGACAGTGGAGGTGAGCGCTGCAAGGAGTACTCTAAAGCTGCTCCTGTGTTGCAAGTCTCAGTAGCATGTGTTGCCCCATTTATCACTCACATGGCAAATCCATCGAAGGCTAAGAAATAGGTCTAGCAGTAAAAAGTATCTAAGTATGTCTGTGTGTTCTAGTTCCCACATTTCAAGCAATGTCTCCTTAAAGTTAATAAGTGTTGTCCCAAAATATTACTGTTATAGTATATTATCTGTTTTATTTCAGGCGTTCCTGTATGGCTTTGAAGTTGAGGATGCACTTGCATTACTGCGACTGGATGATCTCTTTGTTGAATCGTTTGAAGTCAAAGATGTGAAAACATTACAAGGTGACCATCTTAGTCGAGCAATTGGCAGACTGGCTGGCAAGGCAGGCAGGACAAAGTATGCCATAGAGAATGTTACTAAAACTAGGATAGTGCTGGCAGATTCAAAAATTCACATCCTTGGCAGTTACCAGAATATTGCCTTAGCAAGAAGAGCGATCTGCAACCTTATTATGGGGTCACCTCCTTCAAAAGTATATGGCCACTTGAGAACTGTAGCCGGTTGTCTTTCTCAGAGATTTTAATTTGTAAATAAAAGAAGTATTTATAGGAAATGTTTTATTTAAAACTCCTCTTGGAAAATACAATTACACTAAAATAGTTTTATACTTTTTGTCAATTGATACTCTTGGAATGTTTTTGAGAAGTTGTAACTAATAATTATGTATATAAATACATAATAAATAACATGCAGATTAGTGTTTATACTTAGGTAATATTACAATAAGATTGCACTTAGATTGGTACATTCAATATCCATTTGCCGTTCTAGACTCATTTATGTGATCAGCACTGTTTTGGACATTGAAATAGTCACTTGACCAACACAGAGATTTTGCTCAATATTACCTTAAAAAATTGTTAAGAATGGTTCTCTAGTTTTGGCAACAACTTTTATGTCGTTAAGTGTACCTAAGTAATTGTTTACAAAGAGTACTAACACTATTGTTCTTTTTATTTGGATCTTTCCATAAGTTTTACAAGCGATGCTTTTATATTTTGACTATATATAATGGGCAAATGCACCTTATACTTAATAGTAATGAAAATAGGACTAGAGCTTAGAGCAGTATCTTATACTTGAAGTGTCGCGGTACTCGTGACAGCACGAGACGCGCGTCGTAGCTGAGAGACGCGAAGGTCCAGGGCTCAGCTGCGCTCCACTCCGCGCAGTAAACGGAGTCTTCATGTTGTTCGTAGGATTGGAGAACGCCGTCTTCCAGACTGAGAACAAGATACACATTTTGGTTTAGTCTACATTAAATAAATTGGCACAATAGATGTTGTTCTTTAATAGATAAATATCACGATTTTACTTCTTCGATGGGTCCACGATGTTCGTTATTCGTGCTGTTTCGATTCTCCAAAAGAAGGCGCTTGGCGCATGTAAACAAGTCGTACCTATACCTTATGGGTAACCTTATGGATAGCTGACAATAGTTTATGCATACAAAAGACAATCATAGTTAACTAATAGTTGAGTTAGTGAGATACTGGGAGAAAAGGTCAGCGTCACATAAAAATACATATTTTTTCGTTGATAATTATTAATGTCATTCGCCTTAGCCAATGTACATGTCTATATAACTGCACGGATGGCGTAGTGGTTTAAGCGGCCTCTACGCCGCTTACTACTACGCTGAATATTGTGGGTTCGATCCCCACACGGGACGACACTTTGTGTGATCCACAAACTGTTGTTTTGAGTCTGGGTGTTTTTTGTATCCGTTTCACTATATTCCTAGGGGGTATATACCTAATGCGGGAGTTGTCTTTAAAAAAAATATATAAATTTATGTTACCACTCTTGACTTTTATTAACTTGATGGTAAGTAAAACCGTCATCTACAACTCAAGAGTCACAAGCCCTTAGATATAGTGGATCAGTCTCATTCGTCCAAAGAAATGCTTAACCCCGGTATTCTGTGAGTGTAAGTGTCGAAGCATGGTTCTCCCACATTTTTTCTACAAAAAATTTCAATGTACTTTTTACTTTTAAACCCCAGAATCATCTCACACTCTGTATCGATAGATATGAACTCACACTTGGGTGATTTTCTTCCCGTCGTCGTCAGTGTCGGTGCAGACGCTGGCGGCGGCCGTGAGCAGCGCCCGCGCGTCGGAGCTGCCCGTCAGCAGCAGCTGCTCGTGGTACGTGTTGTAGCGCACTGTCCACACCCTGCTCATCATTTACACGTATTTAGTAAATAACGCTATCGGATCCTTGGTTGTTTGTCGGCAAAAAAAATGTGTCAAAACATGTCATGAATTAAATAAACTAAGTTAATCTTCGATGTGGGTTTTGACTATTATGAAAATGGCTGTAAATGAATACTTCAGTTTATAGAAAGGGCTAAAGAATCGCTTTACGCTAAAGCTTTAAGGTAAGATGAAGAAACGAGCTATTTAGAAAAACTCACCAGTGTGAGTGGTCAGTGCGACTGAATATGGGTTCCTTTCCATTTCTGTAGTCCCATATGTTGAGCGTTGCGTCGTCGCCTGCAGTAGCCAAGTGGAATTGTCTAAAGATAAACAAATATATCTTGTTATGGTCAGAACTCTTAACCGGTCAAGAGTTTTTAACCCGCATTGGGCAATAGTACTTTTAGTGGCTGCGTCAGATACCATCTATTGTTATTGAATCACTTGGGTTAGGTTAGTTAGTCGGTTCAATTCCCACACACCGCCCTGCCGAAAACTCCGGTGGAGTGACGGCCCGAAAGGGTTTCCACACGTTAAAAAACGAAAAAATAAAAATAGGTTAGCACACTATTAAGAGCCAGCAGCGGCCGCCGAACGCCAGATCCCTTCTATTGTTGATGTGTTAGATGAGCTTATAACAGTGTATTGTTGCGATCAAAAGTACTTTTGACTTGGTTAAAAACCCGGTAAGAGTTCTGACTGTAAAATTCTCATTTTAGTTCTACAGTTAGTGATACACGTGCATGGTTTTAGTGCGGGGTGTTAGTGAGGAGGTGTGTCGGAATCAAACCGATTAAAACCACACGGTGTGCCATAAACTTACCTTAAAATAGGAGAGATTCGAGAACAGATTTTCATCATAATCATTTGTTTTTTAATTTTTGACATTGATGCAATATAACGAATTACCTGTTTGGATTAAAGTCTAAGTCTCTGGCCAGTTGTCTGTGTGCATTGTCTATGCTCCAGGATGGCTTGGTGCAGTCTGTTCTTGTGTCGTAGCATTTTATGTGCATATCTTGTAACACTGCAAACTGTACACAATGTATATTGTAGTTACATAATATGTATTTTGATGAATCTTTGTATCCACATTAACAACACTGTGTCATATATCACGTACACATACACACAAACGCGCATACTCACACGAACACTTTAGGCTGTGTATAGTATAGTTATCAAGTAAATATATTAGGCACATTAGTATTCAAAGTTATCGGTCAAAAAAATCTTAAAGCCGAAAATGTGGCATTTTTGAAAATTTTCGGTGTAGTTCAATGGGATGGATACATCTGTTAACTGTGAAGAATCTTTTAATTCCACATAGATGGCGTCAGAAAGCAGAGTTAAAGTCAAGAGTCAAAAATAATCATTTCAAAAGAGTGGTAACTGCTTAAAATATAGTTAGGTACCTGTGCATTGCCCTGGTGTGGGTTCCACTTGCCCCCCGTGAACTTGAGGCGGGCGCTGGCCGTGGCGCGACTTAGCGCGGCTCCGGAGCTCACGTCGTGGACCGAGAGCCCCGACTCACACACCACTCCAATACGACTACTATCAGTTGGATGCCATTCCGCACAACGTATTTCTTCTTCTGGTTTCTAGAAGAATACATTTATAAGGATACTTTTAAGATTTCAGTCACATTTTTAAAACCGTTCATAAAAGAAAATTGGCTTAAATAAAATATGACCACTTCTTTTCTGCACTTTTGGGATAAGTTTAAGCCTGTGGCAGAGAGTAATTGCAAATTTTCTCCCCTCAATTCTCTTCAGAAAAATAATATGCAGGCTTAGTAAAGCTTTTCTTTAAATCACAAATATAGGATATCCAATTTAAACAAATGATTCCACATTTGCTAAAACTTAAGTAATATGTGCTACAAAGTTAAAAGATATATTATAATCGGCTATAGGCTATATCCAATAGGGCCACTGACAGAGTACAATGACAGTTTAAGTTACACTGGTCGATTAAATAAAACATTTAAAACGGTTTCCGATTTTTCAATCATATTTTAAGCATTTCAGTTACATACTTATTACATACCTCTGGATTGACAGTAAGGAGTACTTCCATATTCTCTGCATTTCTACTTTGTATCGCGCTCAACTCATCCAAGTCTTTCGGTATTACCTGCAAAAAAAAACAAACTATATTGATTTATAAAAGAGGAAAGATTTGTTACTTTTCATTCAATAATGACAAACAGTTATATAAATGTTATGGTTTAAGTATTTTTTACATACTTCAACTGTGGGCAACTTGAATATAGAGACTCCCATAGTGCATTGTGAGGTGGCGGAGTCGTACGCATTGTGTGTGGTGAGCAGAACGGCCGCGTCGTGTGGAGAGCAGCGCAAATGCCATACTTCGCCAATATCGTGCTTGAACACCTGGTCAAAACAAATGATAAAATTATTTTTATTTTTAAAATTTATTTTGTTAAAAATGTCCGTACACACAGATATTTATTGAATACAGTTATAAACTCCAAAACATTTTTATATATATAGGAATGATTATACAGAAGTAAGTACTTTTATAAAATGTTATAATAGTATTTACAAGATAAATACTATAAACAAGAAGTCAAAATGATAGTCAGCCATGTTTTCTAAGTTTATTTCAGATAGATCTAAATCAATGTTCATTATGTCATATTTTATGCAGTGCTGATGAGATAATTAAAGAGATCTATAAGAAAAAAAATAGGGATCCTCCTTGGGAATAGTTCCTATGGCAGTGAACAATTTTCTTATTCAACACCAGAAAATAGGTGATGGAGTAATGTAAGCATAGAGGTCAATGATACATGGGTCTCTTTGAAAATAATAATCATTATTCTTCATTTGAAATGATTACAATATATAACTACAATTTAAATAAAATGTAAACTAAGAAGTTTAAAAACTACATTACCTTTGTATGTAAAGCTCCCGTATCTTCTTCAAGCTCTACCACATGAATTTGGTTGGAGTTGGGCTTTAGACTCTGAGTGCCGATAAGGAATCTGATAGCATCACTCTCCCCATATTGTGGTGACAAAGCTCTCGTCTGAAAAAAAACCCCTGTGTTGTTACCCATCTAAATCAATTAATATGTATAATAAAGTAAAAGACATTTTTTGTTTGATTATTGTTCTATTGTCACTCTCTCCATAACTGTCAGTTTTATTTAAATCATTATCTTTATACCTACTCAACAAAGTATTTATTAAGGTAAGTTATACGCAATTTAACATCATGACATAACTCTAAGCAACAGAGCAGCGACCTTAAACGCAGAATAAACTTACAGAATCGCATTTTATTTAATATATCAAATTCTAAAGTAAAAATATCTACTAGCACATAATTTTTCTAGTTAGAGATAGATTAATTCTGATCTAAGATTAGTATTAAGGTATTGCTTACTTAAAACACTCAATTATCGATAATTCGGAAGCATTAATGGATCAATTCAACAGAAAGAACATTAAACTAACATATCGTATATCACGCAGAATTTCTTCAGTTTTTCTGGTGGTTAAAGGGGTTTGTAAGGCACTGGGTGACCAAATTTAAAATCGAAGATCTATTAACCTCTCTCTCTTTCTCTTACTGTTATGATTTTGTATCCTTTACACTATTATTGAGGCAATATTTTGTTTAGCACAGAAAAATTATAGAATTCATAGTCATTTTTATTCTTCATGGTATACCTACCCATACTTTGTTAAGGGTTTGTTCTATCGTATTTGTTATTTTTCTTACCTGATGTTCTAAACCATAAATAATTGAGTTCCCTTCTTCCATATCGTAGTAATTCAAATAAAATTATAGATAGACTAAGATTGAGTTTGTTTACATCAATCTACGTCAGACGTCAGTCGTCAACCTCGTACGTCAACTATACTGAGAACTAGTGTTGCCAGCAGTTAAATGAACTCTCCACCAGATTGAACATCTTAAACCACCAAAAAACCACTAACGAAGAACGACCGTACCTACTCTTATAGGGACTAAATTTTCTACCAAACATTTTTTTGACCGAGGTTCATTGGTTTGAATGATATCAATCTTCATGTCTCTTACACAACTCAATCGGATCATTAAACATAGAGTTGGACCCTTAATTATATGACTAGTCTGCCCAGACCCAATATTGTCAACTTTTTATTTTCTTCTGTGCCTTCCGGGGACATCAAAAAGATCATCGTGTCTGTCTGTAGTAACGCAATGATTTGCAAGCCATAGGATGATAGTTACCATCCTGGATTACGTCCTCGAAGTTATAACCCAAATTATTCACTTCTCTCTCGAATCCGGAACATTCCTCTGCCTCTGATACAAAGCCTACATCATCCCATTTATCATCATCATCAACAGACTTTACCACTGCTGGATATAAGCCTCTCCTTAGAAAGGAGGTTTTGGCCTACTATACCACGCTGGCCAGACGGGTTGGTATAGGGTTTGTGCCCTCCTCGTGGTGCACCCTGGAAACGCTGGCGATGGTACTGTTTCCTCCTTGTCCTCTTGGAGGAGAGGATTATCGCCAGCGGCCAATATTCTAGCTGAAGAGGTAGCCGTTCATCGGCTCTCGGGCAAGGCCTGGTCCAGCAGGGTGGGCGTGTCTGCCGGTTGCCCTGCTGGCTCTTCGCTCTTCGGAGCATGGAGGAGGAAACCTCGGTAAAAAAACCTGATGGCGGGGCCCTGTAGGGGCCACAGTTTTCTCCGCTGATAGCGGTGGAGAAAGGAGGACGGGCTCGGCGTGTACTCACACTACCACCGAGCAGGCAGGGGGACGTAGTCTCCCTGTCAACCGTCGGCATATCGTAATCCCGAGAAGAGCGCTGTGGTTAAGCCTCGCGGCTCTGATCGGGGACGAGGGTCTTGGCTTAACCGCCCGGACCGCGAGGAAGATAACCTCTCTAAAAAATTCCCCGAATCCCGTGTTCTGGTGCGTGGCCAGGGGATGCATGGCTGATGGGAAGTTCAGTCGCGAGCGCACTCCAAGCCGAGGTACCTGCGGACCCCTCGGTTGGGTTAAAAACTTACGCTTGCCCGGGTAATGGGGGATCTCTGCCCGGGTGGACCTTTAGTTCTCCCCCACTCGTGGGATTATTATGGAAAATATTAATTTAACTAAAAAGAAAACGATCGGAAAGAAAAACACACAACAGACAAAGGCAAGCCTAACGGACAATGAGACGAAGAGGAGGAATAGTGGAGTGGATGGGTCATCCACGGAGGGTGAGATAGCGTCGGGGACGCCTATCTCGATGGGGCTCCCAGAAGTCAGTCTGACGCTGGTCTCTGGGAGCCGAAGAGCATCGGATCGTATTCGTTCCGGATCCGCCGTCTCCTCGGATGGCGCGGAGGCCATGGAGGCGGAGCGAAGCGACAGCCGAAAACGCGGACGCTCAGGGGACGTGGAAACCGACACGTCCGGCGAAATGATGCCACCAAAGGTGGCAAGCAGTCGCCGAGGGAGGGCGCGTAAACCGGCCTCGGTCTCGACCCCGTCAGGCTCCGCGTTCTCAAACGCGGAGTCCTACAGGAGCGTGCGAGTGGACGGCGAGGCCGTAGCGGAGGAGGCGATCGCGGATCTCCTGCTCAAGGTTCGGGAGCCGGTGGGGGGAAATGCCCCCCAGGCTCCCGTGTCCGTGCAGGAGAGGGCGAAAGCGGCGGTGGCCGTCATCGACAGGGTGGCCACCAAATCCGTGAACCTTAAGGGCTCGTTTGTGAGGGCCCTTAAGGACTCCTCCTCCGCTTTGTCGGAGGTCGTGGAGGGCCTAGTGGGCGACGTCTCTCGCCTGCAGGTGGCCAACGAGAGGCTGACGGAGCGGGTGAACGAGCTGAGTGCTCAGTTCGCCCGCTTCCAGGCGAACCTCCCCGAGCGGGAAGCCCCGTCCGCGTCCCAGCCTGCCCCTACCACCAACTCAGGGGCATTTGACTCCCAACTGCGAGAAATCCTCATCGCAGTTGGGAATATGCTGGACGGACGCCTGGCTGGCCTGGAGGCGAGACTGCCCCCTGCGCCGATTATGCGCCCCCCGCTCGCGTCGGCACAGCGGCCTAAGGCCGCCGCTCCGACCGCGCTCCCCGTAGTGGGAGGCCGCGTCTCCTACGCGGCGGCGGCGTCTGCCCCGACTCCATCGGCTCCCCAAAAGCCGAGGAGGGGGGCCAAGGCACCGGCCCAGGCGCCGGCCAAGGCACCGGCTAAGGCGCCGGCCAAGGCACATCCCCAGGCGCCGGCCAAGACGGGGCCTAAAACGGCGCCGAGGAGCGGAGTGGCATTCCCTCCGCTCCCCACTCCGACACCCCTGCCGGGCCCCTCCGCACCTGCCCCCTCCAACGAGGGTTGGCAGGAGGCGAGGGGCTCCAAGAAGTCCCGAAGGCGGGCCAGAAAGGCTGCCCAAAAAGCAGCCCAAGCCCAGCCTTCGCCACCGGTGGCAACGGCCTCTGCAAAGAGGCCGCGGAAGCTGCAGCCGCCCAAAACCGCGGCTGTAGTTGTGACCGTGTCCCCGGAGGCGGCTGACGGCGGGCTGTCCTATGCGGCCGTCTTCAAAAAGGCCCGGGACAGCCTCGCCAACGAGTTTGGGACGGTGGGGGTCAGGATGCGCCTCGCCCAGACGGGAGCTCGAGTTCTCGAGTTCCCTGGGGCTGAAGGCGCAAAGACGGCGGACTCCTTCGCAGAGAAGCTGCGGGGAATATTTGCAGCCACAGATGGTGTCAGGGTCGCCAGGCCTACCAAGTGCGCGGAACTGCGCATCTCGGGCCTGGACGACTCAGTGACGGCCGAAGATGTCCGCGCTGTAATCCGGGAGAAGACGGGGTGCAGCGCGGACAACGTCAGGGTCGGCACCATCCGCCCCGGTCCAGGAGGGCTTGGCGCCGTGTGGGTCAGCTGTCCCGTATGCAGCTGTACCGATGAGGTGCTACAAATGCCTAGCATCGGGACACACACGCGTCAAGTGCGACAGCTGTTTTGACTGCGGCGGACTGTGTTTCCGCTGCGGTCAACCGGGGCATAAGGCGGCAGAATGCTCTGCCGCCCCTCACTGCCCAGTGTGTGCGGCGGGCAAGAAGCCCGCCAATCACCAGATGGGGCAGAGAGGCTGCAAGCCTCCCCGCAGTTCTCGGCAGACGTCGGGGGTTAGCCAGTCGACCCAGGCTGCCTCCGATGTAGTTCGTGCGTCGACGTCGTCGCCCATGGAGGAGGCTGTAGAGACGATCCAGTAATGGATCAAGTCTCCAACCTCCTGGTCCAGACGAACCTGAACCACTGTGCCGCGGCGCAGGATCTCTTCCTGCAAACCATGGCACAGTGGTCGATAGGTGTTGCCGTAGTCGCGGAGCCCTATTCTGTCCCTCCCCGTCCAAACTGGATGGGTGACTGGGACGGCTCCGTGGCAGTCGTCGGTTCCACGACGGCTCATTCCCCGCCCTTGTCGCTAAGAGACAAGGGCACTGGATATGTTGCCGTCGAGTGGGGGGGATCACCATATATGGTGTCTATTTCTCCCCCAACCGGAGTTTGAACGACTTCGAGGTTTTCCTAATCAGCTTGGAGACCTCGATACGGCGACTAGCGTCTGGGCACGTCCTTGTGCTGGGGGACTTCAACGCAAAGTCCATTGCGTGGGGTTCCCCCAGGACGGACGCCAGGGGCGAGGCCGTAGAGGAGTGGGCGGCCTCGGTGGGCCTCTGTCTTCTAAACAGAGGCTCCACCAACACGTGCGTGCGACAGCAGGGGGGGTCGATAGTGGACCTCTCGTTCGCTACCCCTGCCCTCGCCGCACGAGTAAGGAACTGGCGTGTCCTGGAAGAGGTTGAGACGCTCTCGGATCACCTGTATATCCGATTTGAGCTCTCCCGGACCCAGGACTCCAGTAGGGGTCACGTGGCGCGGCGTTTATCCCGCTTTCCGCGGTGGGCTGTTGCCAGGCTGAACCGGGACCTACTAGAGGAGGCAGCCATAATTCACTCGTGGCTGTCTCCTCAGGCTCCGACCGAGGAGGTCGACGTGGGGGCTGGCCGCTTTCGCGATGCGATTACGCATATCTGCGATGCGGCCATGCCCCGCGTTCGAGGTCGTCGGCCTCCAAGGAAGGAGGTCTACTGGTGGTCCCAGGAGCTGGCGGACCTCCGTGCGGCCTGTACACGTGCCCGGAGGTCCTACACACGCAGTCGGCGGCGTCACCGTGGAGACGGTGAGGAGGACCGGCTTCATGAGGAGTACCGACGGGCGCGGAAAACTCTGAAGCTGGCCATTAGCCGCGCCAAAGAGGAAAAAAGACAGGAGATGCTGGAGGGTCTTAATCGTGACCCCTGGGGTCGCCCTTACCGCGCGGTGCGACAAAAGCTCCGCGCGTCGGCCCCCCCCCTTACGGAGACTCTCCAGCCCAGCTTCCTGCGAGAAGTGGTTGAGGGCCTTTTCCCACAACGAGCGGAACACACTCCCCCGTCGATGGCCTCCCTGGCCGGAGACGACGGGGAGCACGGGGAGGACAATGTTCCGCCCGTCCGGGATTCGGAGGTAGGGGCGGCTGTTCTACGGATCCGTTCCAAGAACACCGCCCCTGGGCCAGACGGGGTGCTGGCCCTGGCTCTCAACCACATGGCAGACCGCCTCGGGGAGGTGTTCGACGCTAGCTTGGCGTCGGGACGCTTCCCTGAGTGCTGGAAAAGCGGGAAGCTGGTCCTATTGAGGAAGCCGGGACGGCCAGCCGATTCGGTCGCGGCCTATAGGCCCATCGTGCTGCTGGACGAGGCGGGCAAATTGTTTGAGAGGGTTCTTTCTGCCCGCA